GGAGGGGTAGGGGTTGTTGATTGCACGTGACTTCACCTGTTCCTTACCAAGAAAAACAATTATCAATTATAAACAGTTTTATAATTGATATGACTCCCTGATCTCCAGCGCTATTGTTTTCCCTCATGATGTCGCATCTTCCATATATGGGGAAGGGAATGCACTGGTAGTGAGACCAAACAATGGCTGCAAACAACACAAAAGATCCCCTCCAGTACGAGAATAATTTTTTATTCATGGCCTCTATGAATGTTAAGATTTACATTTATACTTGTGAGTAATTTCAACTATTTTGAAGCGCAAACTTTTTAAGAGATTGAGTTTCATTATCACATTTTTATTTCTTTAAGTACCTCTACACAGAGAGAAAATAATTAGGTACATGTATGATCAATATTTTATTTAATTGAAGTTATTTATTTCATCACTTCAGCAGCAAACACTTGACTTAAATTTAATGCCAGGTCTAGGTCTTCTATATTAAGCATATCTTTTTGACATTACTGTTGTGGATGCAAAGAAATGAATTTTTACTTTGAGCAATCTTTAAATCAATGTCTATAAGGATAGAATAAAGATGTCTTTTTGTTTTCTGGTCAAAATGGAAAACACTGACCAATGACCAATGATCTTGTTAGCAAAAAAGAAACTGAAATTATATCAACTTTTCCGTGAATTCCCACATTGTACAATTTCAAAATTGAACTTGACTTACAGAGTACAAAATTTTGCAAAACTTGTGTTTTGCACTGAAAAATTTTCAAAACCTACCAAAAGTGAGCATTTTCAACTAATTCACAAAGTCATTTGTACACATTAACTGTTTTGCATTCATTGTTGCTTGTTAACCCTCTGTGACTGGACAGCACCACTGCACAGAATCACAGCGCCTCTACTCCACTGCTCATTAGAATTTTCTTGACTTCAAGAAGTAGTCTTACTTAGGCCTTGAGTTCTGATCCACCCTTAAAATGTGCACTTTTCTTCTTCTTTGCCATTCTGATAACTTTGAATTCAGTTACATGATGCTCAATTGAAATACAGTATTGCACTGTTAAGATACTATTTCCCAACTTCTTTGAATTCCCCCCCCCCCTCCCTCCTCTATAACCCTTGTAAAGAACAACCTGCATATGTTCACCATGCAAAAAATAATTATTAGATATATTAATCTTCTGTGCATCAACTTGATATAGGGACATAACCCTGATTAGCAGCTCTCCTTGCTTTCCACTCTACTAGAAAGAAACCAATTGTTCCAAAAAATGAAGAAACCACCTGTAAAAGAAAAGAAATTTCAAGTGCCATGTTACAGATATAGAGGCATACCTATTTGAAGAGCTTTGTCATGAGACAAGTGCAGAGTATACTTGAGATAAAAGCAATTTAGTTTGAAGCACAGGGTCTTGGAAATTAAAATGTAGAAAATGTCACTAAGTGTTTCATACCCATGATGTTGGAAAATAGTACCTGATGACCACTTTATCATGTCAAAACAAAAAAAAAGTACTACCTACTTTAACCACTGATTGCCACAACCTTAAAACACACCAAGCATGTAAATGCAAACTGATCCACAAAAACAAAGGTCATATTTCTTACAAAATGGTACTTTCCCAAGAACCTCCAATTATTAACCAGGAAAGTACTTCAGAGGAGACAGGGTTAGACCTGTTTGAGTCATCTTCAAAATTTTCAAAAATTACCTCAGTGATCTTGAGGTACTCAAGATATAACCGAGTCCCTGACAAAAAAATTTCAAGCCTGCAACACCAAACATTGACTCACCAGAATAAGCAGTTGCCATTTTAGAACAAGCTCCAGACTGTAGAAGAATCCAATGGCTGCTGTAAGGGACTGAAATGAAAATTTCAATTTCAAATAACTAGACAAGTACAATTCTATTATTACAAATGACCAACTTCATGTACTTCTCAATACTCAAAGTCACCAACAAGTACAAACAAAATGATAAAAGTTGGGGTCAACCAGTGAACCAAAGCATAAAATAATTTGAACATGTCAAATGTTTGTTTCCTGTAGGAGGTAAAAATTACTGTAAATTATAACTTTAGAGTCTACCACTGATATGATGGCCACCAGTTGTTTTGTCAGTTACCTTAAGGTATAGACCTTTATGGTGATCTCTGATGAAATGCTTCGCCCGTACAAATGCACAGTGTGAACAACACATGTTACAGATAATTATTCAGATGTGTAAACGAACCTGTACAAATTTAAACAATGCAAAAGCTGGAGCACTATCCTTTTCATACAGAGAACCTAAAATTGCATAAATCTGAGAGGAAAAAAAAGAATTTAAAATGTTAAAACATTTCACAAAAGCCTTGCACATTGGCACGAGACAGTGGCCCAAACTTCATGTACCCAATAAAATAGTAAATGTATCCCAGTTTATGGAGCCTCTCGCACATTTCAACTCTACAACTTCTTGGCCAAATACTATAAATGTAAACCCATCAGAAAGTTTCCCCTGACAATATTGGTCAGGCTTCTTGGACAGTTCAGTCACTGGTACTCATTTACACTCTTAGATGGAGACAAGCACTGTGTCAGTGAGAGTAATGTAATCTGTCCAAGATCACTACCTGACAATGCTGCCTGGCCGGGCTTAAAAAAAGACATTTAGACCAACTCTAAGTCAACTGCAGTAACCGTTTCACCTTGGGGCCTTTTCACAAAATGTGGCTTATCATTTAATGCACTTTGAGGAAAGCTTGGCCTAAATCTCAAGATCACTATTGCTTGCTAAATAAAGATGAGTCAGTGTTTAGTTTGAAACATCAAACAACACACTACCTGTGTATTAAAGCTACTGTCACCTAACCCCAGAAGGAAACCGCAAAGCACAGCAACAGGTAAGCTGCAGAGAGAATAAAACACCAGTGTATTTATGACTTTTATGTAACATAACTCAACCTTTATTACCATCAATGGAATCTAACCCATGAGAACAGTGCAGAAGAAACAAATAGATTCCATGTTGCACAGCACGACAAAAGGCTGTTTGTTTTGTTCTCTCTGAGCATTGGAGAAACCAGCTCCTTGTGGAAAAAAGGTGCGAAATTGATTAGAATGAGCTCTGTTCACAAGGGAAGACAGAATTAGATTACAAAATTTGGGAACACTATATTGAAGCCTCTGACAGTGGTTCTTACTTAGGCCCTCCTGGAAATACATGGTATTCCTCTGTTCCTGCTGATTCTTCTCTGAGAGGAGTATGATCAGGAATGTTGAAAAAGACAAGGAGGAAACAAATCCAGTGAACAAGTGCCCCAAAAAGTACAATGGGTTCCCTTCCGAACTTGTTACTTCTTTTGCCAAAAATTCCAAATATAAGACCACCTGAGCATGAAATAATCATAGAGAAAATTATGAGTTTTAAAAACCATTCATTTTGTAATAGGCCTATTGAAAGTTAACCAATTAATCATAGAATCATAATATATATCCTCACAAGCACATGCATATATTATAAAAATTGACTTCTTTTGAGTGCCATAAGGAAAAAAAAAATTTCTGTGGAATTTTCTTAAAATATTTTCAATTTCCATGGTGCAGAAAATACAATGGAAATCAAATTAGTAGATGTTTTAAAGGGGCTTCTTACTATGTATATTCAAGGTTGATGGATTGCAGTACTGTAAATAAAAGTGCTACTTACCAGTAATCTCACCACAACCAATGAGCATTCCCACCAATCCAATTAGACGTTTGGAATTAGGGAAGGCAAGTGTGTTTCCTTTAAGCATAATAAAATAAAGTCACAGTTGTATCTAATTGCCCTATAATTATCATAATTAATAATAACAGTATATCAAGTTATAAACATTCTGATAAATCATAAATTATCAACTAAGAGAACAAGTATATAGTAGATACTGAATCAAATGTAATTATAACAGCTTGTAAATTGGTGAAATCAAATTCAATTGCGTCAGTGTGCTTCAATTTCCCATTGTGCACACTGGTGACATCAGCAAACAAATGCCTCCCTAAAAATTTTTTTTCTTGCAAGTGACTTAGCATTTTTCATTAAAAACTGGGAAAAACTTCAGCAAAAAGTTAAACTAGATATGGCAACTAGTAAACAAGCCGATGAAGATCTGCCTACTTTTTCTTTGGGAATGGATTATTTAACTCCTGAGAAAGAGCCCAGAGAAAGGGAAAACAAAACAGTCAACACCAGTTTCATCTCGTTTCACAACTCTAAGTTCATTTCCATGCATGAATTCACCTGTCAGTCTTTGATCAATCTGAGACAAAATCGTTGAAGCATAGAAAAATCCTTTTCCAAAACAAAATACACAACGCATAGAAGAGTAGGAGAGGGAATTTCTGCCCTTTATACATAAACTACAGCATTGAAAATGCTATAAAACAACTGCTTCATGTGTCAGCTATGCATTCATCGAGACTTGAAGCACTTGTGAAGTTTGGAGAGCACTCAAGAAGCTAGAGTTGCCTTCAAGCCCTCCAAACTTCCCATGTGCTTCAATTCTCGATGAATGCACGCTGATGCATGGCCCAATTGTTAAACTGTAAATTAAAGGCACATTTATTTAGCCACAAAGCATGTACATTCTCCACTCCAAAATATCATTGATCTACTGTTTAAATTGCAAAATTAAATAATATCAAAAAATATTACTCTGATGGGTTCTAAAAAATATGAAAAATCATATTTTGCATTTCAGAAAAAGGAAAAGAAAATAATTACTGCTACAACAATGCAGCCAAAGGTTTGATAGACTTACCTACACATGTGCCATACACACCACTAAAAAATGTCAGCTCAAGACCTGCAATATAAAACTGCTATTACTAGAATTGTGAATTCTCCCTTCTAGCTGCTACACATTTCCTTGTATAAGTTATGAGAATTTGGTATTAGATCAAGATAATAATTCATGACAATTTCTAATTGATAAGCTATCTAGAGTATTCTCATTACCTGTTGGCTGGATAATGTAAGGATACTATACAGAGAAGTTACATGTTAATCACTTCTGGGAGTATAAGGGTTAAAAGAAACAGAAACTGTAAATGTTACAACTACACTACATCAACTACATCATCCATAAACAAAATGTACATTGAATCTGTACTAATGATAAGCTGCTCTCCAACTGGAGTTAAAAATTTTAAACTTACAGAATTTGTAAAGCCACCTAATGCACTTTTATTCTTTTATGGCTTTGATGGAAAGAGCAATAATTATACTAACCAGTGTATGCAAAGCATAGGCTAAGGAAAAACATATCCTTTGTGAAAAACAGCCTAACAGCAACCTCTGCAAAAAATGAAGGCAAAAAAAAATTATAAATTCAGAGATGCATAATTTTGCACATACAGCATATTAAATCCAATTGGAAAAAAATTAGTAATTCAGACAACTACTATAAATCCTATTTCAGGTACTTTGAGGGAGGGGATAGCTTATTAGATGCTTGTTAATTTAGAACTCAGTAAAGAACAGACCTTGTTTAGCCATGTTATATTCTTAGCATCACACTATAATTTCTGTATACCATATTCTATTGATGCCAAAATGATAACATCAATAAATCAATCCCCACAATCAATTTTAAATGACAAACTAAAATCCCAGCACTTGAATAAATTTATCCTACTTACTGACATGAAGAGTTGTTTTGATTTTTTTTTTTTTTGAGGGGGAGGGAGGAGGGCTTAATAGAGGGGAGGCTTAAAAAATTTCTTCCTCTAAAGAGGAGGGGCATATTAAAGGGGGTGGTTTATTAAATGAGGGAGGACTAATTAGAGAGAGGGCTTATTAGAGGGGGGAGGGCTTATTAGAGGGGGGGGAGGGCTTATTTCCCTCACGAGTACCATGGAAAATGTTAGTATTGAAAACAGTGTGGATAATTTGCATAAAATTAAACTAATCTAAGGGTGTAAATAAAACAGTTAATAATATCCAAATTGAAGGAAAAGTATTCAGCTGACAAATTATAAGAAAAGCTTACTGAGTGACTCCAGGGCACCTCTTTTCTCAGAGTTTGGACGTCGCCTGAAAGTATTTCAGTTGTTAAACTCAGTCAGAAGCATAATACCCAGTGAACTGGTCAAGACATGACAAATGCATGTTTGAGAACATGGTGAAATTTATTAGCATACAAACACTCACAAATAGTAATTTTCCTGATGTGAAACAAGAGTATAAACCAAACCATATTTTATTTACCAAAAGGGGGCTGCTATGGCTGTTAGTTTTAAAGTTTGTCAACAAGTTAGTACAATTTAAGAATGAAAATAACTCAATGCTCTCACCTGATGTTTTGACTTAATTCTCTCTCATCATTCTCATTCTCAGTTACCTCTGATGGCTTTGATGAGACACAAAATAAAAAATATTAAAATGTATAAAGACTTAATGTAACAAGACTTAGTTAAATGACTGAACAACCACAAGAAGAGTTGTCCAAATTTGCACCTGCCAGGACACAAACCAAACTCTTCTTCAAGTCTTGGGTATTTTAATTGCTATACAGGCAGGGCTTAACTTCACCATATTTTTCCATTAAGCTCCATACCTAAGAAAAGCTGTAAGTGGCTCACTCTTTATTGTTTGCTCTATAAGGGGAATTTTACCAAATGTTTTGAATTCGTATGAATTTAAATTTCATGAATGTCAATTAATGTTTCTCTCAGTAATTTTAGCTCTCTCACCAAACTAGATGGCCTTCGTAGAAGGAATAAAAGACATATTCCTAAACCACAAACTGTGGTGAATACTGTATAAACTGTTTTCCTAACAGAGTCACCTACAAAAGAAGAGCAAATTAGAGAAAATGTTTGTAAGTTTAATGGGAACAAAAACCCGGTGACAAAAAAGTTTTTACACTTTCTTGTTTAAACTCAATTTCAACAGTTTCCCATGTGAGAAGGAGTCATTTTAAGCAGAATGTGATCAGAAGAGAAAAAATTTCAAATATGGCATATCGATTGATTCACATGTCACACCAGTTTCTCAGAGCTTAAAAATTAATTATAAGAAATGAATGCCAGACACATTCATTTGGAGAATCAAGAGTGAGAATGACCATGGGTCAGAGTAAAAGAGTTACCTGGGTTTAAGTGAGGTATTTGAAATAATTCTAATTTGTTTTAATCAAAAAGGAAGTTCTTTTATCTTACATTTAACAACTGCAATGGATACAGGAATAACAGTCAGTTAATTTGTACACTGATCTGAATGTTGGTTTAAAGCCAGCAGGGGAAGCTTCTCCCAGGATAAACACTTACACAAATGACAACACCACATGTACATGATTAATGCAATTACATTTACTTGCAATCATCTGCTTAAGAATTGGAATCTTGAGCAAATGACAAAAAAGCTGACTTACTGATTCCTCCAATTTGAGTCTTAAACTGAAAGTAAACATACATGTTTCCAAAGAGCAAGCTGCAAAAAACAATAACAAAATAAATTAGTTTTGACATTTCCTCATTCATTCAATCATGGGTTTTTAAATCAACCAAGGTCCTCGACCTGAAAAGAAAAGACTGATGTACACAGAGTAGTGCTGAAAAACCAAACCAAACTTTCATGTGCAGCTTTTGCCTACAACAATACCTATCTCAGAGCAGCTGTTTCAGCCATCCACAAGCATGCAAACAACCCAACCCCATTCCCTGCTAAATTTTCCTCCACAAAGCCTAGCTTAAATGTTACAGCAGTCATAAATTGATCAGAAACCTTCAATCAGTCTGTACAATTATAAATTAACCTAACTTACAGTACCTGGAGAACTCAGGTGTTTCCACAATGCATTCCTATTTGTGTTTGTACCAACCATTCAATCACTGAAATTCTTGCAGTAAAACACTCACCTACACTGAAGCAATGCCCAAAAAATACCACTGTTTCTAGAGATTGTTTCTGGATTGGAGTTCATTGTAAGAAAAGTACCTTGACCAGTCCATATTACTGTAGGTAAAGAAATTACACACCTTAGAAATGATTCATGACAATCATTTTACATGGTTCGTACGCTTTTGACTTTCTGAAATTCCATGACTTTCCATGACTTTTTCCATGACCTTTTCCGATTTTCCATGACCCAATTGTTCAAATTATTTTTCTCAATATATACTTAAAGTACCATCAATTCGTTTTTTCCTTGCATGTTAACCAAATTGTAGAAAAGAAGAAGATGCTAAGACCAGTTAAATTCATACGTATAACACGGAATCTTTATTTCCGTGCAACAAAATGACACAAGTGCAACAACACGACGTAAACAGATACTTTTTTACTAAACTTTACAGTCCAGAACTATATCTTTTAAATTTCCTAAGATAAACTTTACAGTCCAGAACTATATCTTTTAAAATTTCCTTATAAAACTGTACAGTCCAGAACTATATCTATTAAAATTTCCTAACAAAATCTGTACAATCCTGACTTAATTTCCTTACAAAACCTGTACAGTCCAGAACTATATCTTTTAAAATTTCGTAACAAAAAATGTATAATCCAGACTTAATTTCCCAACAAAACCTGTACAGTCCAGAACTATATCTATTAAGATTTCCTAACAAAATCTATACAATCCAGACTTAATTTCCTAACAAAATCTGTACAATCCAGAACTATATCTTTTAAAATTTCGTAACAAAAACTGTATAATCCAGACTTAATTTCCTAACAAAACCTGTACAGCCCAGAACTATAAAATCTTAATTTCCTTACAATACAGTCATTGTTTCAGTGTTCACAATTGCAGTATGAGGTTTCAGTTTTCATCTACAATATAGAAAAATATATGAGTGCATCCTTGTATGGTAATGGTAACAAATCTATTTGTTCTATGGTTAAATGCTTGCAATTCTGGTAAATAACTTCAAGAAAGCAGTACTTTTGGACAGGTTGTCACTCGGACTTATTTATCACACTCTTCCAATTCCTTGTTTAAGTTTTCTAGTTCTATCTTCTTCTCCTTTGCTGCATTTCTGAGTGCATTTGATTCGGTTAACAAGACGAGCTGCCTCTTCACCTCAGCCTCTTTAGCTAATTTGTCAGCATCAAACTGTAAGGTGGTGATCTCTGTTTCAAGTCTCTTCTTTTTCTTCTGGAAATCAGCTTTTGCTTCATCCACAGATTTTCGTTTGTGGCTTTTGGCAACATTTTCCGCAAGCTGTCGCTGCTGTTCAAGATGGGCGTGATACCGCTGTCTTCCTGCTTTAGCAGAGGTAAGAAGCTCGTTCGAAATGACCAATTTATCAAGTCCATCAATACTCAATATGTGGTCATGAATGGTGCGTTGGGCAACGAAAGTGGTCTCCTTCATATTCTCAATCATTAGCTGTCGGTTAACGGAAAATCCCCTTTCTACACTTCCTTGCCCATGTGAGAGACACAAGAGGAATTTCACAACGTCCCACAGTTTGGAAAGTGAACCGACAAGACCAATGTGTTTTTGGAGAAATGCATCCAATCTCTGATCTGTAAAGTCAAAGTCTTCAAACTCAGACTTGTGCACCTGTGTAGCCCGTTCCGTAAATTCACTGTACTGTGACAACAAAATGTCACAATCATGAATATCAACCCTCTTGCATTCTACCAATTTCTTGAGGACAATCTTGAACCTCGCACAGCTTGCTTCTTTCTCTGTCACAATATGAATCGGATCCAAACAGCACAGGTTCCTGGCAAGGGAATAGGCAATTGGGGTCTTCTCAATAAGTTTTCCAACTGTAGCTCTAAGGAACGACTGGAATTCCTTCCTAAATTCATATGTCTGACGATCACTGATTTTCTTGGCTGCTTGCAATTCTTTCAGCTTCGTGGCAGCAACAAAACCAACATCCAACTTCTCCACGTCAAGGCAATTCTCCCTCTTCTTGAAGTCAATCTTCAGAAGCTTTACTGCAGAGCTGGCACCCTGGAGTACATCAGCTTTGATGAACCTTTTCATGAAACCACGAATCACCTTCTCTAGACTGCTGGCCACAAATGGTAGAAGAGGGCTGTCGCTTTAGAACTGTACCAGAAATGGTTGCAGCTGTTTAGCCACTGACTCAAAAGCAGCAAATTTGAGAGGCATTAGTGGATCTTGGGTTGAATCTCTTATCGTCTTGTAGGACTTTGAAGTTGGCACACTATATTTGCTGCTACGTTGCACCGTTGTCACATACAAAGTGACTTCTTTCCATATTTCCTGGGCCCGTACTACAACTGGCAGGTTCTCCAGCCATCTGTGCTTGCAGTACTTAATTGGAAATACAACACTGCTGGTTATTTCTGTGTAATCCTCTCTTCGTGCTGGTGAATCCACAAATAACCAATGAAGAGAAGACAGAACTTCCTGAATGCTCCAAGTAGATGCCTTTGATCCAGCTTTGAAAGCATTGTGTACAATGTGAAGTCCACAAGAGCCTACGTTAACTAAGATGGGTGCGTTTTCGTCAACCTCAGAGATCAGTTCCTGGAATAGCTCATGCAGTTTCCAATTCACGTTAGGCCCGTCCATTGACAACTGCAATATGTTGGACTTCTGAATCTTGATACTATCAAGGTAGCTAACGATCTTTTCCAAAAGGTCGTCGGCTGTAGCATGTCCCAGAAATACAGAGGTTAGGTACCTTGTCTGCACTCTGGAGTTCTTTGCATCCCAAAACCTAACATGCAGATCCATCTGCTTGGTTTGGGTAACTTTATTGTGCGNAAATCTGCTTGCATGATCGCTCAAGCTCATCTTTACCTCGTGGCAGGCCTGGTCGCATGGCGATGCTGGGACTCGGCCCCAGGTCTCAGCAAAAACGTATCACACGGTATCGGGGGAAAAATGCGCGTTTGTCGTTGCAAACACGTAAACAAGGAATAGTTTATTAAACAAAAACTTGTGAAAGCAAGGAATTTTCTTTATTTTCATCTCGGTTTTTGCAAAATGTCAAATTATAACAATTTTCCATGACTTTCCATGACTCTGATCGAAATTCCATGACTTTCCAGGCCTGGAATTTTTTTTTCGAAATTCCATGACTTTCCAGGTTTTCCATGACCCGTACGAACCCTGTTTTACCAAACTAAAACCATCACTCAACCAGGTAAACACCTTCTGGTTTGAAGAGGTGGGCTATAATCAAAATTGACTTGTAAAACAGACAATAAACATGCACATCATTGAAGATACAGTACCAGTACGCATAAGTCAAAAAGCAACAGGTTGGAGAAAAACTTACTGCTTGCTCCATATCCAATAACAACTGATCCCAAATATACACTCCATGCTATTGGTTCAATAAGGCTGGCTATAAAGAGGCTAAAAGATGATAAGAGCCATTATCACTAAAATCTTAAATTTGATCTTGAAGTGTTAGGCCCCAGTTGTTCAAAGATTGGAAAATACTTTCCATTGCAATACATTTTGTTGGCACCTATCTACTGGAAAGTTTTTTTATTAATTGAATAGCACTATCCATCCATTGAACAACTTGTAAAAAGTACTTTCAATAAGATCTAGGAGGCAGCGTGGCCGAGTGGTCAGCGTGTCGGACTCGCAATCCGTCGCTCCCGGGTTCGAGTCCCGCCCTGACCACTACCTGGATTTGTTTCATGGTAGCTCCGAGTTCAAATCTTCAGCCATGGTTGTAAATAGCCAACTGGTTTGCCTCTGGCCAGTTGGGATTCTTAACAATGTTATGTTCAATTTGAATTATTTGTTTATAGCCCACAATGTAAACTACTGGGTTACCAGTAATTGTGTTAGCTATTAAAAAGTTTATTTATTTATCTAACACCTGCTGGAGCTATATCAGATTTCTGAAATAACCACCCGTCAGTGTTTAGAAATTTCTTCCACTTTGAAAGTCAGTGTGTAACTGATGGTTTGATCCCTTTTGATCCCTTTTGAGACTACCATTGCTCAGTCAGTAAAACTGTGCTTTCAGGACTCGACACTAATGGTAGCCCACTAGCCAAAGACTAGTAGAAATTCAGTTTTGGCTTAGTGGTTTTCAATTTCCACTAGCCAGTTTGGCTAGTAAACAGACTGAAATTGTTGTAACATCTAAAAACATCTAAGGAGTCACTAGCCCTGGCTTTACGCTTTCATTATTAACCTCACTAGTAATATCATTGACAGTATTTTGAGACTACCTGAGAACAAAAGTTCAATTTGAAGCTTCAACAATCCCCTCCCTTCCTCCTAGGCATCCCATGAGCCTTTGACCGTTGTCTGTGCCTGGAGGTAGGAAATTTGAACCTTACCTAGGTGGGGTGGGGCATCAGAACTAGGTGGGGTGGGGGAGATATTGAAGCTTTGAGTTTATCAACGCAGGACCTCACCTTGATCTGTTAACATAGCATTGCATACAATTACAGTACAGGTGTATGTAAACCTTTACCCCTAAAATTATACAGGTCAGCTGTACTTAATATCCTTATAAAGATAAAAATATGGCAATTATTTCTTACGCATAACAGATCCCTCCCACAATCATTGAGACTCTTGGTCCAAATATTCCCACAAAAGATGGTGCCAGCCAGTTAGCCAATGCAAACACAGCATAGATGATACCCTGACTATAAAAAAAAAAAAAAAAAAAATTAACTACTGACAACATTTTTTGAACATTTATCTTGGATCAGTTTGAATTAGCGTGCACGTAGCTATAGTCCACATCTGCCTTATTGCTGTTATGATACATGCAAGTGCACATGTATCACCAATACATTTTAATAACAAATATCTTCATACCTTAAATAGCCACTTATATTTTCTGAAATAAGAAAAAAATGGTTAGAAATAACAGAATAGGCCTGAAGTTAATGCACTACAAGGCTGTGCTCTAAGAAAAATTGAAGAGAGACCAGTGTTCAGAAACTGTGAAATCCAGGGTGCCCAGCATATGCTTTTCATGAAAAAACTAAGATTCCTGGGTCGCCCAAGAACAAATGTAAGGTGCCAGGGGCCACTGGGCACTGCTAGACCACAGCCCTGCACTACATGCATAATGCAACTATGTTATTTTTTTAATTACTGTCATATCTACAAAGACTTCTGCTGGTGATTATGGATCCAGTAACTATTTTGTATTTAAGTGATTGATAATTTTATTTTATTCACAATAAGAAATTCCTTCCTCCCTTCAAGTGTGTTGAACATAAATCAGAGAATGGTTTCATGTTTTGTCTGCCTCTTAGTTCTTCTTACATGAAGAATTTGAACATGAGAAAGAGAAATTATCAATGATACACATAGGTTTTAGGTTTTTACTTACTTTCATCGTTTTTATTGCCTGTGAAATTTTGCAGTACAGTTGGCTAATGAAGTAAAAATATTTTGTTAACTTTGACAGTGCAACACCAGGTATTTCATTTGGAGGTTGGGCCTGAGTGCAAAACTATTGATATGAGAAAAACAGAAGCACTTAAGACACGACTAATTGCAACTTAGTATTTTATAATTTAAGGTTACTTCCCACCTTCAGATGTCCCAAAAATCATTTCTTTTTTATTTTGACTAAACTTTAGTCAAACATTATCGCCAAACATTCCATAAAAATATTAAAATCTCCACAAGCATCCAAGTTATTCTGAAAATGCATTTTCAAATAAAAGTTTATGAATTAGGAAGGTGTTATAATCCATTCCCTATGGGAAAAATCAAAAAGTAGGAAAATGTCCTTAGGTTGAAAAAGGAAAAAAAAGAAAAACAGGCCCAAAGAAGAAAGAAAGAGTACCACTCTGTCAAGAAAAGAAAAAAAATCATTGGTAAAAGTGGCTGGTAGCCTGCTTCAAACTGCAAGGCTGTGCTCTAAGAAAAATTGAAGGGAGCCCAGTGCTCTGAAACTGTGAAATCCTGAGTTGCTCAAAAGCAAAAGTAAGGCACCAGGGGCTACCGGGCGCTGCTAGACCACACCCTTGCGCTGACCTTCAGATTTTGAAAAAAAGAAAATGCCATCAAACCATAATTTGTCATACATTAAGTTGAAAACTAGGTATCCTCATATTATGCAAATACCAGCCTTGATGCAAAAACATTACAATCCCCTTGAATCATGATTTTGAAAGCTACAGTATCTATCAATTTTTTCTCTTGTTTCACAGAATGTTTTCCAGTTTTTCCATTTTGGCTGCAGATTTTTCTTTTAGTTAGTGTTTGACAACTTTGCCCATTGTTGTTGTCCTCAGTGCTCCACTGAGTGATGGAGATAATGAAAAAAAAAAAAAGGGTCTGCAATGTGTTACTTTTCCTGGGAAATTTTGATCTATTATCATCAAAACCAGGAGGTGCTATTACCTCATTGGTTAGTGGTTTCAGGGGGCAAGATAATCTTAGGGCATGGCCAGAGCTGTTTACAAATCTTAATGGCCTAAAGTTTTGCATTTGATTTTTGGAGGAATACAACCATTGAGCAAATTTATATCTAGTATTAAGATCTGACCAGTTTTCATCAAATTTAGCCAAAACATTCCAGAAAGAATGACAAACAAAAGTGTATTGGGAAATTGAGAAATTTGTCCTGTTAAGCACCCATTTAACCAACATACCTCCTTCATTTTTAGCTACTCCGACTTTAGATGCCAATACAGGGCTTGACACTAACTTTTCAACTTAATAGCCAAGTGGCTGGTGACGTCTTCAATGCTACGACAATTTCAGTTCATTTACTAGCCAAACTGACTTATGGAAACTGAAAACCACTAGCCGAAACTGAATTTCTACTTAAGCCTGTGGCTAGTGGGCTACCATTAATGTCAAGCCCTGCAATATGTAGACAACCAATCAGAATATCAAAAAAGCCTGACACACTCATATTAATAATATTGATGCCTTGTGATTCATTTTGCTTGTGTTGCAACATCCAATACCTGATTAATTCAGTAGAAGAACCCTCAGTGGTTTAATTCACACCTTATTGGGTCGTGACACTTCCTAAATGGAAAACTCACTTAAATGAAATTTTTAATGTAAACTGCATTTGTTAGAGCTTTCTTCTGGTGCATAGCTTGCTATGATTTTAGTGAAACTAGCAGGCATGTGAATTTGTTCCCAAATGACACCCATGAAAGGTGGGAAGTAACGTTAAGTTGATTAATGATAGAGTACAGTGTTACTCTACGTAAGATTTCCGCACAGACCCAAGTTACAGTTGTAAAACAAAGCCTTCAAGCCCCAAAAGCAAAACTATTATTTCACCATAATTATTGTTTTCTTTATCAATGGCACGCAAATAAGTTACAGGGCTTTGCAAGAATCCTACTCAGAATTCTTTTCTAAAGCTCTTAACTTATGAGTTTTACAACTTTCTTGAAAAATATAGGGTGTCCCATACCGATCATGATAGCGAAACTTCATCCTAAATTACCACAAATTTGTTTCCTTCACACTGAAGAAAGTGTACGAGTCTTAACCACCCATCCTAATCGATAATTGCTTTTCACGAAAAAACTGCTGACTATGGCGGCATGAACGGTACAAAAAGGCGTTTAAAGGGTCGTTCCAATTATTACGGACCAGGAGCAGTTCACTTCCTTCGTTCATCACGTAAATTTGCCCGCCAAAAAAAAAATTCTCCTGGAATATTGCGTCAATTTTCATAAAAAAAATGGATGCAAGTAGGTTACAAATATACTTACCTCGATCATGCTTGTCGTTTGAAAGGCTGTGAACATGAACATAAAGGAAAAGCCCATGACAAGGACATTCCACATCCCGACGTCGTTCGCCATGTTGTCAAAGAAATGAAAATTTTTCCGCACACTACCCTAGAAAGGCCACAGTTACAAGCGAGAGCTTTCGGTCCCTAAAACCAGGAAAATTTTTTCACAAAATGTGAAATGATAAAAGGTATCGATTAATTTTAAATTTCTTTATGATATTTCTCTTTTTAGGTTACACTAAAAAAAAAAAAATGTAGAAAAATATAGAAAATCATTGCTGCTCCAGGGTACCCACGGAATAAACGTGACCCGAACGTAACGTTTGTCACATGACAATATTTACGCGTGATGTCACTGTTTAAGACATTTGGTTTCGAACAGTTTGAGGTAAGTGTATTTCGTACTTCAAATTTTCCTGTAGAAGGTAAAACTTTTAGCTAAGTAATGTTGATGTACTTTGGACCGTTAATTATAGAGGAATAAGTACTCATTTTTGTATGGTTTTAATTATTTGTTATCGGCAGCAAAGAGATACACAGTCAATAAGGAAAGTTCGATGTCAGTTCTCAGAAAAACTCCTCTAAAGCAACGTTCATTGTTAAATTTTCCTATAAAGCTGGTTAAAGGCGTCTTATTGTGAAAAATATTAGATTCAGTTTCTTTTTTTTTTTTTTCTTTGCATTGGTTTATTTTTTTTTTAATCGAAATTTAGATTTATGAAATTAGAAGACTCACTCCGGCCGCACTGATCGATCTACACACGTTTGGATAATTTCTTACTTGGAAGCTCCATTCTTATCCGGAAAGATTTTCCTATAATCCCATGCTATTCCAAAACAAAATCTTAGTCTCGAAAAAAAAGGAAAAAATGTAAGGGCTGTGTTTCATGCTTGTAAGTTGGAAAAATCCCAGACGATTGGGATTACGCTGTTTTCCGACTGCCCTTGATTTTTCCAATAATATCGGGAGATAGTCAGTTGTCTTTCTTCATAGATTACAGATGGCATATTATCTGTGACGTAGTTGTTAACGAGCGCTATGACAACGGACAAGTACATTTGATCAAGCAGAAACCAAAGAACTCATTTAACGCCAAGATCATCAACCTATATACACAGGATTGATAGCAAGCTAAAACCATAGCAAGATCCCTTTCCAGTTGAAATAGGAGTATCTATATCAAGGGCGTAGCCAGGTCTTGGGGTGCCCGTGACCCCCCTTGATAGGGCTTCTTTAGAGCAAACAACCTACCATATTCAGGTGGTGAAAACGCTGCGACAATATCTTGGCTGTAAAAGCCATTGTAGAAAAGCCCACTTTTTTAAAATTTGTTTTTTTTGTAAAGTATTTTCATCAATGGCTCTTTTATTTAGTTAATACGGGCCTTCATGCCGCGATTATATTGACTGAGCCCGCTGATACACACGGGAGAGCAGGGGTGTAAATGGTGAGTAGCCTCTGTGACCCCCCCTTTAAAAAATCCTGACTACGCCCCTGCATATCGTCAATGAACACTGATCATTGCAGAAATCTGCATTGGGTATGGAAAGTAGGAATACCTTTCCCCTCCCCCTGATTTTCCCAAATTGTCGCCAATCATCCCTAATAACAGGCCATTTCTGAATTAGTCCCTTTGGCCTCTTTTTTCAAAACGAGGCCAGGTGCACAACCATTCTCATGAAGATGAGTTTAATTTGAATTTGATTGAAAATTTATCATCATAATTTTTTTTTATGAAAGGATGAGCATGAGGACTCGCTTTGAGAAAGAGGTGAAAGTTAATTTGGAAATGGGCTATTGGGGATGTGTGCGATTTTGAGTAGCTTATAATTAGTTGAAAAACATGGGCACAGTCAGGGAACAGCATAATAGCTTGTAAGTAATTACACATTTCTAAAGATCTTTTTAATAATGATTTTTTCAGACACTGAATGTCTGTATAAGAAAAATACCCATTGATAAGGTTTTTGATAATAAATAAATGGGTTAGCTAGGGGGTAATTTTTCCAGTATTGTCTTTTTTATAGTTCTTTACTTTGATGTCACTTCTACAGTGGTTTTAAAGTACAAGTTCACAATGTCAGCTCCACCGCCATATTACCCTGCAAACCCAGGACACCAGGGAGGATATCAAGCTCCACAGGCTTACCAGCCAGGTCCTTATCCAGTCACAACTCCTCCTCAACCAGGATATGCACCAAGTAAGTTTAAATTATCCCCTGTGTCAACTGCAGGACCGTTACATATTGGCTGCAAAATCCTACAACTAAATTAAAAGTGACATTATGACTATACCAGTCCATATTTAAAAGAAATCAAGAGGATCTAGATCTCAACAGGGTGTTGGCTTTTACTGCTAATGGTTTAAAAATTTGGCCATTTTTCAGCTAACAAGAAGCTTCCTTCCTTTGCAATTAAATGAAAAAATTTAAAATTTATGGTTACCCTTTTTACAACTAATGGTTGAAAATTTGTCAACTTTTACACCTAACAGCTAAACTTTTTAAAGGTTTTATGGATGTGGATTGGAAATGTGGAGCAGCTAGAGGGCAGAATTAATAATCAGATATATGTAGTAAAAGGATTAAAGCACAATCCTAAGCAGTTCCTACTCCAGCCACATCATTGTATGAATTAGTTGCAGATATACTGGAACTTAATCAGAAACACCTGAAAAATATCGCTCAGTATTCTATGTAGTTAAGTTATTGGGATCCTAGGCAGTTACTGATTTTTGTCTCTCTTGTTTTATAATCTTTTGACAGTAATTGGTACCAATTTCAATTTGTTTTTGGAGACCAACTTACTTTGATTATCCTTGTAGGATAATCTTTACAAACATAAGCACAGCTTGCAATTAAACAGAACAAATTTAAAGAAATTATAACATAATCATTACCAATCAGAACATAGGAGCCAGTAAGAAGTTTAGGTGTTATTTTAAGTTGCCTAAAGGATTAGAAGCCCTGTTAGGTTAGAAATTTTCTCTGATTGGTGTCAAGAGATTAACAGACCACTTGCAGAGAACATTTAACGAAAAAAAAAAAAAAAACAGAGTACAATCGTAGATTTTTCAGTAAAACACTGTGACTGTTATTTTTACATATCGATGCTTGTTTACCATGTATGACACATGTTTGCTATATTTTATATGTCTTCCTGTTTGAAAGATACCAGGCCCCGCATTTACTATCATATCCTTGTGAAAATCTCTGTGGATTTCTAATTCTCTGCACAGGTTACCATGAGGGAGCTCCACCAGGTTACCAACCTTTACCAACACAGGTGCCCCCAACAACGTATGTCTACATCCGAGGGAACTGCCCAGCATGCCATACAGGAATACTTGAGGACAGTTTCACTGCTCTGGGAGTTTGCTTAGCCATCTGCTTCTTCCCTCTTGGTCTTATTTGTTGCATGATGCTCACTGAAAAGAGATGTAACCGTTGTGGAATGTCTTTCTCATAATTCAGCCTTGTGTACTTTTCTGATATACCATAAAGCCAAAACTATTATCTTATTTGTATTTATGATTACAGTAGAGTATATACTTCTGTTAATAGCTATCCTTCTTCATCTCAGTGCATTTTCAGGGACTTGACTGCAGCTCTTGAAAAGAGTGTTGGGGAAATGGTAATAATTTTAAGGTATTATATATTAATATTATTCAATTTCTGTAGTTCCCTCAGAGAGGTAAAAGTATACAAGGAAGCAAGTTCATGTGCACAGCACACCAACAGTGTTTCCTTAGAAGGACAAGATTTGCACAAACAAACAAACAAGAGGGTGGCAATGGGTTTTTATAACTATGGGATGTGTGACTAGGACCAAAATTAATATGTGACATGCAAATTTTACAAAAAGGTGAGAGTGATTTGTAAATTTATTGACAAGTATAGGACAGGATTTGTCTCCTGGAATATAATTGACCTCAGATTTTTTCCTTTCATTTTTTAGTATTAATTTATTAAACCTCAAGATTTCTGTGAAACCTAGCCAAATTAGGAAAGTGATTCGAAATACTCGTCAAAGTATTTGTGATGTAGGAATTTTTTATGAAATTTGTGCTTGAAATGAAATCAGGATCTCTCATTCCCCATCTTCCCCCTTTACTGCCCTCAGACAACCAGTTGTTCATGTTGATGAACATGCAATTTAACTGTTTTCAAGTTTTTAACTGGAACTGATACAATGGTAGTTCAAATTAAACTAACTTCAGAGTGTATGTCACTTTCGTTTATTAGCTTAAGTCATATTCAGTAAAAGAATAATAAATATAAAAGCAAAATTTAATTCCTTCATTCGTCAGGAGTAATTGCACAGTTATAGGGTGTGAAACTATATAATAAAATGTTATAAGAGTGACCAGCAAATTTAATGTACAAAAAAAGTTCCAAATATACTAAGTAAATACCAATGTGTTGATCAATTAGAAACTTCAACATCCCCCTCCCCCCAGGCAAACCCCTGGCTGTTTGAACTTTTGAAGATTGGCTCATTCAAATTATTATCCTCTGGGGCCAAGATCATGTTCAAATGCCCCATCTAAGTGCTGGATTTGATTGTTAGTTTTTCTGTAAACGACGAAAATGAACTTTCTTCCTAATTAAAAACATCTCTATATTGAAAGATAATATAACATGGTTATTCCACTGGAAAGACTTGACAGTTCCAGTTCAAATTCCCCACCCCACTTAGAGGAGGTTCAAATTCCTAATCCCCCTGGTATGGACAACAATCAAATGTGCCTGGGTTACCAGGGGGAGGGGTGGTTGTTGAAGCTTCAAATCTATAGGTGCATATGCATTTTTTGGTTTGTGTGTTTGTTTTTTGTTTTGGCAAAGGCAATGTTCCCTTTTAAATTTTTTGAAATAGTTTTGTTATGTCATTCATAGTAGTAGTCATTCATACTCTATTAATAATTGATATATTACAGTTTACTTTTCTTACAAGAAAAAAATTGAATTTCATTGCAGTTAATTTATTGAACTTCAAACACCCGCTTACAGGTGTTCCCATTGAGAAATTGTCAAAGTTTGCTTTGATTATAATTATAGTTTTCGCGTCTTCGTTTATTTATTAATTTTGGCCGATTTTTTTTTTGCCTTGAAAGAGGGTGGGGATTTCAAGAATTATACCTGACACCCAAAGCGCAACGCTAAGCGAGGTTCGATAAGCATTTTTTTACGAGCCTACTGGGACGAAGAAATAAACTTCCGAGAGTACATATCCCTTGTGAGGGTGCGAACCTCGTGCAGTCAGCCCAAATAAATCGATCCCAGCTGAGTTGGAAGTTTCGTGGGCTTCATGGATCGAAGACAAATGTCAAACTCACTCACTTCTCCCTCAGTGGCCGTTTCCGAACGCACATCATATAGTTTATAACCTGCAGTCCGCACGGGCAGAAACATTTTCTGGAACCACTTTTCGATCAAGCTTGGTAAATGTCCACTATTATGACAGTCGTTGGGGTTTCAGTTCACTAAAAAAAATTATCGTATTCAAGTGATCTATGCGACACTAGAACTCAAAGCGAGAAGGAATTCTTTTTGCAAATCTGTTTGTGTGTTCTTGTCTTGTCAATTAGCTCAGTGGTTCTATAATCCTTAACAAAAGCCCTTTTTTCTGTCTAGTCTTCTATCCTGATAAATTAAGCGTGGATTTCCAGATGGTCAGCCCTGGAAAGTAAATATAAGAGTCGACAAAAAAGTCAAATTGGGCTTTGACGGCGAATTTTGAGATACATTTTGTGGTGATCAGACTTCGGGGCATTACGAAACGTCACCCCACCCTCTCTTCGAAAAGCGTTACGTGACACATCTGACTGAACGGTCTGATAACTACACTTTGTAGATCTTGAGTATCGTTGAATGGGGCGCGCATTCTCTTATGAATTCATGGATATTTTGTCAAGTTGAGACGGGTTTAATTTCAATGATGAAAACTTATTGAATAATTGAGACCTTGCGGGTTTTTTGGAGGGTTATAAGAGGCAGCTGTAGGTGTACAAGTGATCAATAGTTCTTCGATGCAGCTGTTTTACCAGTTTCTGATCAAGGGAGTTTGGCATTTAATCAAGACAGTATATTCTCCTGCCGATAAGTACATGATATCCCCTTCTCTTGGCCCCGATTTGCTATGTAAGAACTTCAAAGTTGTTATAAGAAGTTTTTTTTGTTAGGCACATATTAGGATTGAATCGTTCATTAATTAAGGGAAGTCATAAAAAATCAAAATGAAGGCATTGCGGTCGACTGCCGGTAAAATGTCTTAAGTGCTAGTGTTAATATAAACGCGAACTTGCTAAATTTCTTGCTTTTCATCGCTGAGCCCCTTTACGGCTTTACTGCAGTAAACGTTTTATGTAAACGAAAAGACGCTTTTCCCTTCACAAACTAAAGGCCATCCACCGATGCAATAACTGCAGGTGATTCAATTTCAATCCGCCAAAATCTCATAATCTTTATCGGCTCATCTTAATTATAACACTCGCATTTGCTCGCATGTAGAAACTTTTATCAAACGGATACGTTCAGAGTAAAAGCCGAATTAGAGGGGGTCTCAATGTTTGAAAACGTAAAGCTCTATTTTGAGTTATAATCATCTGCATCCTGACAATTTAAACTTTTAAGTCCACCGTCCAAATTACGCTTTTCGTTGTGCAAACAAACGCGTGTAATATAAGGGCCTGATTACATGAGCCGAGCTGGCCCGGTTAGCCGGGCTGATTTCTTTTGTTTTCACGCTTTGGCGAACACCAAAACAAAAGAAATCAGCCCGGCTAACAGGGCCAGCCCGGCTCATGTAATCAGGCCCTAAGACCCCAGGGATTAATTTGTGAGCAACAGTTTCTACTGCTGACCAGTGGAGGTCTGTAGGTTTTCCCTACATGAAATCGAGACAGCCGGTATTCTTGTTCTTGTAAACTTTCGCAACGCCTTGGTTGCGAGTCAACTGAAAAATAATTCTCGACGATGGATTTCGAGAGAAAGACTGAACAGGAGCTTCATGATATCACGATATTGACCTTCCAGGTAAGGCAAATGGCATTTCTGTCCGTTGTTAAACAGCCTTGATGTTGACTGTCCCATTTGCTTACTGGTACAGAATGTCATCGACATGTCCGGGGTACTCAAAGAGCTATCCATGAGCGCCAAGAATTACCTTAAAACGCTACAAAGTAAGCATTTATTACAGTAGTTTTATTCAGAACAGCATATTTTCCAGCTCAGTTTTCTTCAAGAGATCGCTAGCAAGTGTTTCACCTTGAATTCTCGTTTTCAGATGTTCGACAGGCAGCGACTTCGTTCTACGATTCCCTGTCCAAGGTGTCACACATGGCTGGCCAGTCGAAAGGAACCGCTCGTCCCCTGGGTAAATGTCAAAACATTTTTCGATATTTTGAGATTTATAAAATGTTCTGTATATTCAAAGTTTATTGTGATTGAAATTTTCTTTTGATTTGTTTATACAGAATAATTAAGTCCTCATTGTATTACCATGGGGGTTCAACTCCGAAGTCCGAAGTAACAACATCTATAATCTATTCTCTAACAAAGCGTTAAAACACAGCATTTTAACGTTTAATCAGTCGATCGTAGACGAAAATTGCTCGGTCGAGCATCAGACATGGCATTTATAAGAATAAATTAACGACCTAAATACCCTATAGTGTATTGTCATGGATTCAAGTTCATTTCAGCATAGTCAATCGATTAACTATGATTTCAGATAGTGAATTAACGCATTCGGCGTGATGCTGAAACTTACTACAGCGTTACATTTTAGATAGGTACAAAAACGCTCGTCAGGATCGTAGAAAATTTCTCTGACCCTCAAGATCGTGGCTTCAAAATATCGGATCGATATCATCAGGTCGACGTAACTACCTCCGAGAGGTATTTCTAGCGATGAATAAATAGTAAAGGTGTTGTCCGTGTTTGTGGTAAATGTACTTATTTATACTCTAAAAAGTCGATTGCAATGTCCTTGATACAGTTGGGTAGTTGTGTAGAAATACCGTAGCGGTAAATGGTGAAATGGAGTTAGAATTGCTTGTTATTTATTTTCCATTCTTCCAAAAGAGAATACAGAAGGTGATAATGTGCATGTACTGTACGCTACTTTCCAATGTCACAGTAAATATATCAATCTTTCTATAAAAGTTACTTTGACATGATGCATGAGCTACTGCTAGACCTTCTGGATATATAAGCTTCACATAAAACATTGCTGTAGTGAAAAAAATGATTCTCAAACTTTACAGAACTTTTGAGTCCCTGTGAATATATAATTGAATTTTGCATTTTGTTAATCCCGATAGAGAAAGTGGAAATAGCGGAATTTGATCATTACGTCAGATTGTCAACGCAAAAGTATGGAGATTTTAGTCATGCCCTTGTGTGAAATAAGAATGTTTTTTAGTTAAGACAAATTTGTAGAAAGTTTTAGCAAAAGAGACTAGTTTTAATGAGTCTGTGGCAAAGAAGTTATCTTAATTTATATTTAAGAGGCAAGACAATTGAAGGAAAATATCCAATTGAACAGGAAAATAAATTATTTGACAATGTGGACTGACAAAATTGTTCTGAGATAAATTTGAGAATTTGTATTATTACCATCCAACAAAAATTAGCAATGATATTACAGCTGACCATGAGGCAATTGATACTAGAAAAAACAATCGTTTTTATTTGATTCTCTGGAATAGTGATAACCAGCTCTTTGTTGGAGAGGACAGACCATCCTCTGTCTGTTGAGGAAGGTGTTCATTAGGGAACACCCATTGGAATGACATCACATATTTGTCTTCAATCATTGTGTTATTTTGATTTGCCAATATCAAAAAAAGGAAAACATTATTATAGCAACCACAGTGGAATTTGGATGTGACAAATAATAAACAGCGTTTATTAAAAAATCTCTATAGGTAAGGCAGACTTTTCTTTTTGAGATTACCATAATTATTTCTGAAGTGCTGGTTGGCTTGATATATGGTAGGGAAAGGTGAAGTGTTTAAATTTAAAAAATAATTTCTCAATCAATGTCTTATCGTGAATACAGAAATGGTGTTTCCTAAAAAGGAGGAGAGAAATTAAGGGCTACAAAGAAAACTAAAGGCTTCCCCTTTAGGAAGGAATGAGAATTTGATAAGAATGTGCTGCATTTAGCATGTTTCTTAAACTTGAAAATATGTTTGCAATAACTATGATCCCATTTTATATGATACGTGCAGGGTGGCCATGGTAATTGATCTGAACTTGATAGGTTAATGAGTTAAATTGTAATAACATAGTGCAGCACAGGCTCTTCTGAGAAAAAATATAGAATTTGAAACTCTCTGTGACATGAATACTAGCATTCTAAGAAATATTTGAGTAACTGTTTTAGCCAGATGTTAATGTTAGATTCATTTAAAAATTCCTATTTTCTGTGTTTGACTGAAGTTTATAAAGTGGCTGGGGCAAAATAGTCTGACAGCCAGCAGGTTCAACTACCAGTGTCAGCCTTTATGACAACCTTGTATACATATGTTGAAAATTCTGTGAATATAATGCTATGATGTAATTTGTATAAAAGCGATCCTTGCTGTAATAAATGCTATTTCTGTGAAAATAAGGTCTGACAAAAGTTCAGGCCCCTATGGGATTTGCAGTGCTCTTACTTACCAACTGAGGTAACAAGCCAACAGGGAGCTGGTCATTATGTTGGTTCATATTAAACCCAAGAAGTGATGAGTCAACACTTGTGAATATATGCTTAAGTAGTGTTCATCACTGCAAAGATCGCTCTCATACTCATTTCTTTAACTGCAGTTCATGTAAGTGATGAATGAATGAACTTGAATAATTGAAAATCAAATTATTATGTGTAAGGAGTTTTAAGAAATATATGAAAGCAATCCTCACAATAGTGAACACTACCTAATGTGGAGTAGTAAAAGTAAGGCCTGAAAAAAAAAAAAACAGGCCTGTATAAGATTTGAACCCATGACCTCTACATGTACAATACCAGTGCAGTGCTCTATCAACTGAGCCAGCAAGTCAACTGGGAGCTGGTCATTATGTTGGTTACTATTAAACCCATGTGGGGATGAATGAATGAATTAATGAATTAATTGTATACCATGTATCAGTATAAGTAAGTTGTGATTTTTAGTACACATATTAATTGATTTTCATATATATTAAAATTCATTCATGATAACTTGTTTACGTGTATTGTTTGTTGTGCACAGGACCTATCATTGCAGATCTGGTAGTCGTGAAGAGGGAAGTGGAAACTAGACACAGTGATGTGGTAATGACAACTGTTCTATGAACGATTATTTATAAACATTGTAAAGGTAAAAAAAGTCAGCTCACAGGCCAGAGGATCCCTCTTGTTAAAGTTTAAGAAACTTTCACAAGCGGGATCCTCTATGTTTCTAAATACCAGGAAGGGACTAGGAGTATTTGCACTCTTCTTGCTTGGAATACTACATATAAATTGTGATGGAATGTTAATCCATCAAATCAATGCAATTGAGGAAAGTGGTGAGATTTGAAAACCCCTCCAGTTCATTTACATTTGTTATCAATAAAAGAAGATTAAATGAATTTAAAAGCGCTAAGCATGATATTCTTCTCAAAGGGATAGATAGGTTTAATTTTTATAATCCATGTTTTAGAATACAACCTCAGCTTCAAACATGTAGATCTTACTATTTAGATAATGTTGTCATGTTAATCATAGTTAACACCCTATTAGAAAAATAATTAATGTAATGTTGCATATCAAATATCGTACATCAAATGAACTAGGATGACAATACCTTGTTTTTACAAAGCAGCAGTATCTACTAAATAAACAAATTTTGTGTACAGTGCCAAATAGTTTTTGCACTAAGGAAAAGGGTGTGTACATAAAAAAAAAAGAAATCCAAATATTGTTATTGTATTTGTATGAAATTATCTTGAGTCAGAGATAACTTAACCTGACTAAGTGTTCTGTTTTACAGTCTATGTGTAAGGTTTTGAATTTTCCTCTTAGCTTTAAGCTTTCAAACAGGTAACTTCCCTTCACCCTTTTTTAATGAAACTCCTATACAGCTTCATGTACTTGTTATTCATAAAGTTGAGCTTACACAAGATCAATGTTTATTTTGACCTGTAATGAGTTCTTGATAACCTAAATGTTCTGCAATAATGATAAGTTTGTGTAAGCAAAGAGCTTTACAATTGCCGCATGATTTTGTAAAATTTATAATCTTAGTAATACAATCACAGGATGTGTTTAAACGGAGAATGTGTGCCTTCAATGGCTCACCTTTGTTTGAGGCGACTTGTGTAACCCTGCTTTCTTGAATCTTATCAATAAGAAAATGTTAAGCATACTGCATTTCTTTTAACATCAGAGCTTTGTAGGCATAGCTTACCCTCTTCAATATGATTTTATTCAGCTACATGTAGCAAAGAATCATGGAATATTAATGGCCAATCAAAATTCTTGCATCCATTAATCACTGCTCAATTGTGCCACTATTAAAGAGAAATATTTTGATTTTATTTTTGTTCTTTATTAATTAAAAAGTGTTTATCAATTTTACTGATTCCTTTAGATGAAATACCTGCAGAATGATTTAATAGCTCCATTAGACATCATTGGGGACTCAGGTGTCCAGGAGGTTAAGGTAGGTGTATCTAATTTAAACCCTTTCAATCCCAGATTACATTAACATGTAACTGCTCCCTTCAATATCCATACACTATCCAGTAAACAGATAATGAGAATTCTCAAACTCATCAAGTGGAAGCTGTTATCTCGATTGAACGCCAAATTTAATAACTAAGTTATAAAGAAATGTAGAGTAGCTAGAGGAGAGAATTGTTATTAAATTAAAATCAGGGTTTGGGAGTTAAGGTTTACCTGTTTTTATTAAAAATTACTTGCAGACAGTGAGTGCTCTATGATTGGAGAAAATCGAAGTCATTGCACCAAACAGATTGAAAATTAATGGAATTAATGTGGCATGGGAATTTCACTAACTTTAGAATTTACAGAAATTTTAGGCTGTGATAATTATTTGTACACCTCTCTATTGAAGCTAGACAAATATCATTGTGGTAAACTATAATATTATTATCTTTTTGGGTTTCATTTTAGTCTTTGCAGAAAATTTACCAACAAGAGAACAAAACTAAATTGGAGGTTAGTTTAATACAATATTTAAATTCCATTATTTGTAGTTGTGTGCTTCACCTGTTTGCCTTTGAATTGAAATGAGGTTGTCTTTAGTTGGCCTTGCCATGAGAGAGACAAGAACTAGTTGTAAGTTCAACATGATAGCAGAGTACTTTATAATGAAAAGTTTTCTGAAAGGCCTGGTAGGTTTTATAACTCCCAACTGGTCAAAATTATTCTTCCAAAACTTATCTCTGCTCACTAAAGCAACCATTATCACATTAGTTACTGCTTGGAAGGCTGTCAGTAGGTACTCTAAAACTTAAAACCAACTGAAGGTTATTAGCAATAAGAATTGGTTAATGGACTACTTTATTTTTTCATTGATTTGATATTGGTGCCATAGTTAAACATGTTAGCGATGAATAAATATTTATATAATTATGTTACTAACAGAAATCAACAGTTAAGCAAAACTGCTAGCAGCTAATTAAAGTTTTAAAGAACACAATTTTTGTTATATACATTGTACAGCTTTTAGAAAAAGCAAAAGCGGAACTGTTGAGGGTGAGGAAAAAGAGTCAAAGAAATAAACCAACAGAGAAATACGAAGAAAAAGAAAAACAGGTACTTACATGTAAATAATTTTTTTTTTCAAAATTGTAGGGTGCATATACATGTACTTGTACCATTGAGAGAAGCTAATCATCTTTTTTGAGCAGATCTTTGGCTAATATTTAGTGCATGGAATTGAGAGCAACATCATTTCATGGTAGTCTTTGATTGTTACAGCCATCATAAAGTAGGAATGAACCTAATGGATGGAAATCCATCTTTTGCAACTCCAAAGTGATACTTTTCAATACACTTGAGCAAAGGGTGATCAAATGCATGATTCCTTGGAGATCTGCAATATATGACTGAGAGCAGCATGAAAAAACATTGCCAATGATACACTTACAAATTTGTAATTTTCATTTTCCTGAAAAATGTAGTTTCTGTAAGTTAGTTACTTCTGTCAGATCTTTTCAATTTCCAAATACTATTTTGATCCTCTTTCAAGTGTGAACAAAGATTGGAATCATGTCAAAAAGGACTTAGAGAATTCAGACTTGATGGTTGCAGAAAGGTACAGCAATAATGAGTTGGTCAATTGTACGTTAAAAATTTGTAGTTTATGGTATGTTACAGACTGAATGAAGATCAATGCTGTTGCTTAAAATTATACCATTTCATGTTTTGCAGAGGAGGTGTGATCATGTTCATGCTCATGTTCTTTAGTTGATCATTTTCTTCATTCATGTCATTTGTACACTTGAAGGGTTCTGAAAAATTTGATTAATGATTTAAAAAATAATAAGTTAATCATTCACTGTATTTAGCATTTCAGTTTTCTTTTCTTTAGGCAATGAAAGAAGAGTGGAATAGATATTGCTTCGTACTTGACAGATGCAGTATTGCTTCGAGAATCACCATGGAATATTGTGAACAAGTAAGTGCTCCTAACTCTGAAAAGTTCATTCATGCTCTGTTTGCATTTAGATATTAATTTATTTTCAAATTTTTTTTATTATTTTAATTCAGAGTGCCCAGATACTACGAGAAAAGCTGCCACTTTGGTTTTCACTAATAAAAAAGAAGGAGAACTCTGTTTGTAAGGTAAACACTAGTTTGCATACAATAATGAAATGTTTACATTGTTTTTTACTTCATAACATAAATTTTTTTTACTATACCTAATATTGCTACAGTACCTTTTACCATTTCCTGTGCTGAATTCAACATTTGTTGTTTCAGGTGAATGGATCCATGTTAAATGCAGAAATTAAAAAGGATGGAGTTACAAATGAAAAGTATGTTTCATATTAATTAATATAATAGTAATGGGTTTGAGTCATGTCCAATTTGGTCAGTAATCATACCAGTGATAAACACTTGTTAATTACAAGTATGATCACAGGCAGAATTGAATGTGGCCTTGTATATTACACAGGTACAGTATGACATGTACGTTGTCCAATAACTTTGTCCAATTACAAGCATGACATTTGGCATTGTACAATAAGCACTCAAATCAGGGTAGTGAGAACCAATCACATGTATATATGAATTTTGTAATAATTTTATTATTATTGTTATTGTTGTTATTATTATTACAAGTGGATACAGTACTTCTGAATGAATCTGCATATAATTGATTACTGGGCACTTTTCTTTATTTTCTAAGTCATATTAAGTTTTTGGTGTCAACTGTTCTCTTTTTAGAATTAAACTGAAGGCAAATTTTGCACACACAGCAGCTGAAACATCGCAGCTTAGTTTCAAAGAAGTAAGTGTAAATAGAGTATTGCATTCTTTAACAGCAAGAAGCTTTTTTTCTGTTTTGTATGTTAATAAGCTCTGAGGTAACCGATAAAGGCATCCATTTAGCACCCAGGCCAGTCTTTAGGGGTACAAGAAATTCCAATATCCAGCTTTTCCTTTCAAATCAGGCTCTACTAACAGTACTGCTGGCCAGGAAATTATGTTAACTATGTTATCAAACATTTAGTATTTTTCTTTTATGTCATTCTCCTCTCCAGTTATCAAGGCTAAGTGTACCCACCATAAGATAATTTTCGTTACCCATCTGTAGGGAGATTTAATAAACCCAATCAGTGAAGTTGTTTCAGGATGGCAGTATGGAGAAAACTTGAAAACAAACAAGTAAGGATTAGAACTAAATATTCAAAATAGATGAACTGTGGTCTGTATACATCGGATGTTTGATGTCAGTCATAAAGTAATGTACAGCCACTGTGCAATACTGGAAAATGTTATTTAATTGATTAAAAAAACCTAAAGTAGGTCACAGTTTGTACATTGTCATACTCAAAAACTTAGCTTAAATTTTGTCAGTCAATTGCAATTCTTTGCTGATATTTGGGATCCTTAATGTCCTTACGTTTTGATGCTTATGGAATAAAACTTTCTTACCCCTCTCAGGTCTGGCTGGTTCCCAGCTGCTTACACTGAGGAGGTCATTGGTGTAATGACTGGGTAAGAAAGAAACTTAACCAAAATTAAGGAACTGAAATCAGATTACAGGAGGATGATTGCACTCTCCATTGAATATTGAGAGTACCCCCATGTACATGTACATGTATCTGTATAGAATAAGTTTTTGTTCACATATTCAATTTTAATAATTTTATTGTACACATATGTATGTAAATAAAAATTTTTGCAGCCCCTCAGTGAGTCATACATTACCTGCCAGCGGAGTTCATCTGCGTCCTGCACTAGATTCCAGTGCTGGCCACAAATCATTGAAGCGTTATTCGAGTGCTGGACCAGATGCATTACATTATCCTCCTCCAGACTATGTGGAGCTGGACAACAAAGCAGAAGTAAACAGCTTATCATCTACAAATGCCCCTGGTCTGTCAGGTACAGTGTGTTTACTGTATAGTGGAGTGTTGGTTGACTGGAGCAAACAAAACTTTAGCTTCTGAATTGATGTACATGCATGAAGGTTGTGAAATTTAAGTTAGAGGTATTATCATGCCAAGTTTGTGTGTGAGACAAAATTAAAATGCAATTAAAAAAAAAATTGACTGTATTCTTAATTTAAAGCTTGAACTGCGGAGATTGCATTTTATTGAAAATTGCTATAGCCCAAAGTATATAACATATAATATAAGTTCAAAGGTTGTAATCTTGTAACATGTGGCTGTTTTCATTGTTTTGATCATTCACCTTAAAATTAACAGTTAGCACTTTAGGAAAGTGTATGATTATTTTTAGAAATTGTTTACATTTTAATTAGCTTCAATGCATTGTTCACTGTTTTATTTTTAACTTCTACTAATATTAAGGTGAAACAAAAACCAAAGTCATTGCAACAGCCAGTCACAACAAAGTAAGATGTTGACAGGAGCCAATGAAAAGCTCAAAGCAAGAATAACCAAACTGTGGTTGAGATGAACTTGTTATTGGCTCTTCAAAGTAGTTTAGTTTTGCATCTGACTGGTTGGGTGAGTGGTGCAATATTGCCAGTCAGTCACAGAGCCAAGTGAAGCAAAACCAAAGCAATCCTGAATTACTTTCAGTGCTTTTGTTCTTTACACTTGTGGTATGTTTTGATAAAACTAAGCTACCAAGAAAGGTAAAGTATCTTTACAAAACTCTCTAGGTTCAAATGAGAAAAGTAGTGCGTCCATGGAGGTCAGATCACCATTGATACCACCTCCTCCTCCACCTCTCCCTCCATCATTTTCTGCATTAGGAAAAAGTGAGGAGACAAAGACCAAGAGGTTAGAGGTTCAGTTTTTATCTTTGACAAAAATAATTGCTGAGACTATGTGCTTCCATATGGTACTCTCTCTCTCTTGTTTATGCAATTTTTGATGTCTTCACCTCCTGTCTTTTTGACTGATGTTGCCTGGTTTGCCATTTGGTCATCATTATACGTGTATTCCAAATCTTTTGAAAATATTGGTTGAGAGAAAGCAGGAAGAAAAGCTTCCTTATGAGATTATGTATGTCACTGCACTGGTTTGTGTAGAGGGTAGAAAACAATAGAACATTGAGAAGAACCTCCGGAGTACAGACTAGGACCATGGACAAATGCAGTCCACTTGTGGCTCATGGTGGTGCCAGTTTTAGGAATCAAACCCAGGTCACAACAGTGGGAGGTAGAGACTAATGCACAACTGCTCCATACCTTCCCTCAGTATAGTGCTGAAAGATTAAAAACAGCCAATAATGTTTAGTTCTTTGATGAAAATTTAAAATTTACTGGCCATTAAGTATTAAACAATAGTATAGTGTATGCATTCCAGCAGAATTCTAACCCTGAAACTTGAGGGAATCTATTATGGGTTGGTTTATTTTGGCTTTTCTGTTTTGACATGCATGTGATCTCTACATTCTTCTCATTTTAGTCCTAGTCATGAGATAAAACCAAATGGTGAGATAGCAGAAGATTCTCCTGATGTGAGTCACTTGTAAATAACTGGAAGGAAGAATTTACAGATACAGAAGCAGCTAGCTGCAAGGGATGATTACATAGTGAAAGAAAGACAAATTAGGCCCTTAATCAAATACATCTTAGGATTTCCATCGCTTGCTAATGATCACTTATTTTGATATTTATGAAAATTTAATTTCAGCTCTGAAATTTGTGGCTACATGACTGGGATACTGTTTTTTAATTGGGGAATGGTCATACATCGAATCGAAATATGGTGTCCAATTTGAATTGCCATTGTTCTTGACTAACTAGCCTCTCACACATGTGATAATCCTTTTGTGTTTCCACGTCAAGACGAGGCTAGTAAGTCCAAAACAATGGTAATTCAAATTGGATGCCATATTTTGATTCAGTGAATGTGAACAGAATAGTCACTGAATGTATTTAGTAAATGGTAAAGGTCTGACAGTGATAATTTGTTAAAGGCAATTGTAGGGTATTGTCTAAGCAGCCATGTGGTCAAAATTAATAACCATTGTTGGCATCTCAGCAATCAGTTATAAGCCAAGATATGGAGGCTATTAAGCCTAATACCCAAGTTAACCTTTCCATTCCCAAGATCTAGCTATTAATTTTCTTTGTTTTCTGTCATACAGCTTATTTTTTGTATGATTTTAGCTCTGGGAGTTTGATGTTAAATCAAACAATATCCACTTGTTATTATTTCACTGCCCATCATCTTTTTTTTTCCTAAAAATGTTTTGATTTTAAAAGGATTCATTTTCAGTCAATTCCAGAAAATAATGGCTAAATGTGCACTAACGTAGTGTTTTCATTCGGCCTGAGAAATGATTATGACATAAGTACTAGCCTAGTAACCTTTTAATTGTTTTATGAATTTAAAGTGAACAGGTTCGTGTACTTAAATTATGATCTCATATTTAATTTGGTAGGTTCATTGATCATGTACAAATTTGTCAGCCTCATGAATGAAAATATTTTATGAAGAGATCTAATATATCATAGCTGAAATGCCTGATTTATTTTTGTGAGCTGTAAATTAATGCAAAGAAAAGAATGAACAAATTGATACTGAGTTTACTGGCAGAGGTAACTGTACAAAACTTCGTGACACCTGTTATCATCTTCAGTGGATTTTTGATGGAAATTTTTGCTGGGTTTCATTTGTATTTACAATTGTCTATGCCGCATAATAAAAGTATTCACCATTTCTGAGGTTCATCGATGGTCTTTTTATTATTTGCGTAATTCATCCTTTACATCTACATTATTGGAGTCCAAATACTTCCCACCCACCCCTCCACGGGTTGAAACTTTACTCCCTTGCATGGAAAGTCTTTGTTTCAGGTGGATGAAACAGACCAAATTCTAGTGAGACTCCTTTCCTCCTTTCAATGATAGTTTTTGTATCCCCATGTAAACTCAGCGACATACACTGTTGACCTACCTCGACAAATCCCATATCCTAATTGTGCTTTAAACCAACGGAGACTTCGTGGCACTTCGCCAACACAGATAAAAGTCAATATCTGAGCAATTGCGCATCTATGCCCTTCCCTTAGCCCAACAACAGGCAACTGATAGCAAGTCCGGAGCGTAGTTGTCCAAATACTTGCATTGATTTGCCCACAGTTGTATGTTTGAAGGCTAACCTATGTTATCCAAGGTTTGTGGCTGTCTTGCATGAATGAAAGGAAAATTAGCCGTGTGGCATTCTATGTTCTAAAGTGGGTAGTAGGGCAATTTCGTGGAATAAAAGGACAAAAAATAGACCTAAACGAAGCAAATCAGATCAGATCAAACAACCTAAGATCTTTTTGTTTGGATTTCATATATTTTTCCGTGAAGTTTACTGAGCCTTGATTCGGGAATCCTTCCATATAATTTGTCAACAAACTTAGGCGATAAACGATTTGGAAAAATAATGATAAAAAATCAGATAATCTACGCTGGAACCCACGAAGCTGGAGAATATCAGAAAGTTCAGTATATCCAAGAATAAGCCATACATTTTACCGCTTTCTTTAGCTCAAGAGCCATAACAAAAAAGAGTGAGATCACGATCTGCTAAACAAACAACTGAGACCGAGAGCGAATGTCTCTTAACTCACACGGATCAATGTCAGACCTGAGCAACTGCACACTTACCCCTCCCCTGAACCAACAGCAGTCAAGTCGTAACAAATCCACTCAAAAGAAGTCAGGTTTAATCCCTCGGTTAGGTTGGGGGAGGGACGATTGCGGAGTTGTGCAGATACTTACATCGATCCGCCCACACTTTTATGTCTTGTCATGAAAACAGTCAACTGTTATCGAAAGTTTGTGGCTGACCTGTATAAATGAAGAGAGCAACTTGCTGTGTAAAATTCTATGTTCTGAAGGGGACCGTGGAACGATTTGAGGGATTAAACGAAGCAAATTTCAAATCAGATCGACTGAGTAACTTTAAATATTTTTGCATATTCCACATATTTATCTGTAAAGTTTATTTGTAGTGTTGATTTGGGCATGCTTCCAAATAATTTGACAACAACCTTGAGCGATTAACGATTTGGAAAATGATAAGAAATCACATCCTCTACCCCGGAACCCACGAAGCTGGTGCTCAGTAAAGCTGAAGAATATCAGGAAGTTCAGTAGATCCAACTGAATAAGCCCCAAGAAGACAACGTCTAGGAGGAACCATCTCGAAGTGCTTAATACACGTATACCGTCTTACTGCCCTCTATAGTTCAAGGACCATAACAGCACAATGAACTCTAAAGAGCAAGATTACGCTCTGCTAAACAAACAACCAATAATTCTAACACGAAAATAATTCATTTTTCGTCAGTTAGTCAGACTGCTCTTGAAAAGTTATGCACCACAGATTTCATTAATACGTAATGGAAAGAAGTAAATGACCGAATAAGAAACGCGATATCCTAACTAACTCGTTTTAGTGTGAAATGGAACCAGGAAGTAGTGATTCATTCTCAAATCGCATTTTGTTATAATTGAACATTAGCCAGTTCAAACCAGTAGATTAGAGAAATTGTGTACTATGATTTGCTGAGTCATTTGGCATAAATGATAGGAATAGAAAGAGAGGGGGGTAAAAGGTTAGGATTTTGAAAGCGAGAGTCAATGGATGCAATTTTAGAAACACAATGTTTTGCATTTGGCATGCGCTAATTGTCTGTCTTAGGCGCGGTTGAGAGGGTTGTTGATTCATTTGGCATAAGTGATGGGTGTTGAAAGAGAAGAGTTTGAAAAGATCCAGCTTGTTTCTCAGTTCTTCTTGGTAATATCCACTGCCATTCGCTCTTGAGACTGACTGAAAGCAATTTACAACTTATAATAGGATCAAATATAGCTCTGTTTAAGGACAACGGATTAGTTGGCGCTTTGTCAGCAGGTGAATAGGCTTTCAGCCTATGAGGTAAGTTTCGTTATTGCCAGTAGTTCAGAGAACCAAAACAAAGCAAAATTACAACAGATCAAAGAACTTTAGGATTTTTCTTTTAGACTCAACATATTTCGCGGTGAAGTTTTTTAGACAGATTTGATTTGGGAATGCGTCCATATTAATGAATGAAAAACTCCCAGGCTGGGTGATAAAAGATTTCCAAAATGAGTGACAGTTTTTTTTGAAAAAATCAAATCGCGTAATTTGGTTCTTTTAGACATCAAAATTAATGATAATCTTCGTGGTTTATAGGGTTTGATTAGTTGCACGCCCTCAGATGAACAAATCTTCAGAATTTGATGCCAGAGGCGAATGAAATTAAAGGAACTGGAACGCGTCAAACTGAGTCACCATGATTTAAAGTGGTTCGAAATGTTAACTGATTTTGAGACTCTCGCAATTAATTATTTTTCCATGATTCCTTCCATTGCACCCTCCACCACTGTCTCATGTATTCCGCCTTTGTCACCATCACCAATCCAAATTGTAATTTGGTTCGTCTCGGGTGGTTTTGCTAGTCTTGTTTTCTCGCTCGATTAGATACAGACGTTGTCCCACTGCATCGTTTGATGCGCTCGTTTATTTTAGTACAGCCTCGCCTGTTTTTTGGATCACCTCAGATTTAGAAGCATAGTTCTGTTCTCAAAATGAGTCGGAAAAAATTTCTAGTTTTGGATTTTCTTTACCCGTGTTTCATGCTGTTTATTGTTTCATGAGCCATTAAGCATTGTGGTTTCCTAGAAGCTAAAGCTGCGTGGAAAACTGTTCAGATCATCTCAAGTTTAAATACGGCACTTCCTAATTCTTTTCAATCTCGGTGAACTGGGTGGTAAAATATCCTTTTCTTGGGAATTTACGTACATACATACATACGCACATACGTACGTTAATTGACCACTCCCCATGGGAGGCTTTTCAGGGCCAATTTCCACCCAGCAACCACCCCAGGGGAGGACATCCATCACACAGTAATCTCGTGCGTGGGAAATTAACGTCTCCTACCCCTAACCCTGTAGAGAACGGGACCTCCATTTATTCGTCCCTATCCGAGAAGACTAGATTTCTTGATATAGAAAGGTAGCATATTCTTCTCACTCGTTTTAAGACCTTGAGTGTTGGTCCGGCCGGGGCTCGAACCCTCGACCTCCCGCACAACAGTCCAGCGCTCTATCCATAGAGCTAACTTGGAGGCGGTCGAAGAGAAGTAGGAATTTTAAAAAAGACAAAATTTTCAGATGTTAAAATGACGCTTTTTCGATTGTTCGTAGTACGGATGATTTCTTCCGCTCTGAATAAGTCGCCATTAAGTGGATACATAACCCTAGCGTCATATTGCTTGTTGGAAGAATAGATAGTGCTATCCACTTCGCATCCAGTGGGAAATTAATTCAAGACCAGATAACTTCATAGCGGCTCCAAACGTCTCTTTCTCGCTTCTTTGTGTTTGTTGACGTGAGGTGAATTTTTTACATTTCAGGAAAAAATCTTCATGGCTTCAGCAGCGACACCAACGTTTCCTGCAACAAAAGAGACAACTAATTACGCCCGGTTATGTAGACTTCTGGTGGATGTCAGTTCACATATCCTGAGAGAGACATTTGAGAAGAAGCGTCCACCAGGAAACCTAGACAAAGTTTTTTCCACTTCTCCAGTACAGGATGTGCTAGGAGAACTCAGAAGAAAAAAAGTGCTGAATCCATCACAATGGGGAAAACTGTATCCCACTATAAAGTCTTCTGTTTCATCCAACAATTTCGATATCACTCTGCTGATGATTTTGCTGAGGAACATTTGTGGTCTTGTTCCTCCATCTACCGGCTGGGATACACTTCCCCATACGGCAGACTTATCCCTGGAGGCAGATATCATTCGTATCAAGTGCTACAGAAACACAGTTCATGGTCATGCCAGCAAGGCCTCAGTTGAAGACCCAACATTCAACCAATACTGGCAGAACATCCAAGATGCACTGGTGAGATTGGGAGGAGCAGGTTACCAAAGTGCTATTGATGATCTGAAAAAAGAATGTATGGACCCTGATTTTGAGGAACACTACAAAGAGCTTCTTAAACAGTGGGTGATGGATGAAGTCAGCATCAAGGAGAGATTAGATGTACTGCATGACAAGATTGAGAAGGGGATTCATGAATTGGGAATGAAAATTGTCGATCCTAATGGGAGGAAAGGTACAGGAGTTAAAAGTGAATATAGCATGATATTTACCAATTACATAAAAGTGCATTTATGTTTTCAAAGCTTTCCTGTTTTTGTGTGTTGAATGTTCGATGGCTCCCGTCGATCCGTTCATCAGATCAGAACCACAATTACATGATAAAGAAATTGAAAAGCGTTCCGGCGAGAAACTTTTGAGTGAGGAGGGTAAAAAGAGATAGGGAGACATAAGAATCAAGGATGTGAAGCGACGATTAAAGTATATCTGGCGACAGAAAAAAACTCTTCTCTTTCTCAGTAAGCAAGTCACGTTGAGGGCTGTTGAACAGACTTATTTCTTATAGTTTGCTTTTATTTTGTTTTCCTTAGATAATATCACGAAAACGGAGAGAAAAGAGGATGTCTTTATCCTGATACTGGGAGAGACAGGAGTTGGGAAGTCCACCTGGATCAATGGAATTGCCAACTATTTGAAGCACAGCTCTCTCCAAGCCGCCATGGATGCCCGTGATTTTACTGTTTTGATACCATTTAGGTAAAAGTATGAACCTTTTGGTTATTTAAACATTTTTTGAAACTCTTTAGTTATACGATGCATTTCTTTTATGCTTTGAGATACGTCACGCCCATCGGTTAACTGTGCACGAGCGTTGCATGAGTTTACCAAAGTATTTTATTCTTTACCTTAGATTTACTTATAGTATGGTGGAATAATGGTAGCGATGAGGAAGTGTTCGACCCTATCTCACAGTTTCCTTAAGTTATTATTTCCTTGCTTCAAAGATCAGCCTGGGTGCTGAGAATAATTATGATTTTACTCTGAGTTACTGACGGTTACTGTGACTTAGAGTCTAAGTATTTTGATCAAAACTTTCGCACCATTGTTACGGCTCTGGGTTCCCTGGCAGTTTTCCCCTATATTGGTATATTGTTCTTCTTGTGACTAATCTGATTCATTGAAGTTCTATATCTTATTTGTGCAGCCAATAAGAAACCTCTAATTGACTTTTTTTTAACTGCGGAGGCTGCTGATTGAACTGATACTTAGCCGGCTATATGGCCTTTCCTTTACTCTCGGTTATATAGCTAGCGAGGAACCCGTCGATAAAAATCCCCCGGTAGATAACGGTCCCAAAGACTGCTTAGCATTTGTCATATTTACTTTTTTGATCGACATGTTGATTTTTTGAAATTAAATGAATAATTGGCAAGGAAAACAAATACAGTTGCTTTTGGGTCAATTCGATACAAGGAAATGTTATGACCTCAGGCTGGTAAAGTACAGGGAGTTTCGACACAGTTGCGTTCTAGTAAAGAAGATCCAAACCTCTCTCCTTTGGACGGCCCGTGCGGGAGCATACGGTAATACACTAAATCAAAGTAGATTTCGTCGACATTATAATAGATATGTTTTTCTTAGGTTTGCCTTTACGAGTGAAGAAGGGAAAAGGGAAGAAGTTTCCTTTGGTTCTGATGGAAATGAAGTTTTTGCAACCGGTCAATCTGCTACCCAGTCCCCTCGGGAGTATATGTTTGAGACAGACTTCGCTCGGGTCCACCTCATCGACACTCCGGGCATCGGGGACTGTCGCGGAACTGAAAAGGACAAAGAACACTTTGAAGACATTATGGCCTTTCTCGGCTTCTACGACAAGATCCATGCCGTGGTTGTGCTTCTCAAGCCAAACAATTCCAGGTTGACTGTGGCCTTCAGATTTTGTGTGTTGGAGCTGCTCACACATCTTCACAAGTCGCTGAAATGCAACATTATATTTGCTTTTACTAACTCCAGGGCAACGTTTTACCAGCCAGGAGACACCCTGCCAGTTCTCGAGGAACTGCTTAAGGAAAATAACCTTAGGGAAATCGATGTCTCACCATACAACTATTTTTGTTTCGACAACGAAGCTTTCAGGTATTGGTCATTATCATTTATCATTCAGTCATTCATTCATTTACGTATTTCTTATTCCCTTTTTACACAAAAGACCCTAAAAAGGGTTATTGCTGGGGAGTATTTCAAGTTAAACAAATTTTTAAAAAACTTAAAGTTGAGCAGTAATTTGTGATCATAATTTTTCTTGAAATAAATTCCAGGACTCCGCGTACTATAAACTTTTTTTTTTTTCTACCTAAAGCCTGGTTAAAAAAAACGTATCAGTTGTTAGAAAAATCACAGTAAACTGGGTATTTCAGTAATTAATTGTGTTTCAATGACCTTTGAAATAAGGAAAGCTACTGCATTGAGTGTAATTAAAGGTCAGAAGCCTATTTTGTCACTCTTCAATGCTCTTTTTTCGATTTTCACTGCATCCCGGCATATTCACCCTTTTTAACGTCTCCGACCGTCAAAATTTGTTTTAGTTTTTCTCCATCGATCTCCCTAGTTTTTTTCCTTCTCCTACAGTTTAGATAATATCTAGCAACTATTCACTAAGGTGAAAGTGGCTGGATAAACTGTAGCTTTCATTTGGCGCACGGATATTTATCCGAGGACGTTATCTGTTCCGAGATGCGAACAGTTTTCACATAGCGAAATATTGCTTGGGGTATTTCATTCGATGTTCCCCAGTTTAAAGGCTGATAGTTTCGAAAGAAACTGTTTGGGGCTGCGTCGGTGGGAGTAACGAAATAATTTGGATATATCAACAAAAGTTGAAATGGTAAATTGGCCACCGTAATGATTACAAAAGCTGACGTTTCGAGCGTTAGCCCTTCGTCGGAGCGAATAGAGGAATTGTGGGTTGTGTGTGCTTTTAAAGGCAGAAAATGGAGCTACGTTATTGGTGGGTGCATGGCAACGAGAAAAACATGAATAAATTAGTGGAATGAAAAGCGTTCATTGATCCCTGTGGGATTGAGACTGCCGGTTTGAAAGATGAGCTTTTGTTCAAGATTTTTACGGCTTTCCGTGCCACCTAAGTGCAAGGAAAGACCGCAGATTGCCATATGTTGCTTAGAATGATTAGGTAAATTAAAATGTCTAGCGACTGGTTTAGATGTGTCCTTGTCATTCCTTTCCACGTCTCGAAGGTGTTCTCGGAATCGGTCACCTAGTCTTCTGCCCGTTTCGCCGATGTATATCTTTTTGCAATAAGTGCAATCTGCGGTCTTTCCTTGCACTTAGGTGGCACGGAAAGCCGTAAAAATCTTGAACAAAAGCTCATCTTTCAAACCGGCAGTCTCAATCCCACAGGGATCAATGAACGCTTTTCATTCCACTAATTTATTCATGTTTTTCTCGTTGCCATGCACCCACCAATAACGTAGCTCCATTTTCTGCCTTTAAAAGCACACACAACCCACAATTCCTCTATTCGCTCCGACGAAGGGCTAACGCTCGAAACGTCAGCTTTTGTAATCATTACGTTGGCCAATTTACCATTTCAACTTTTGTTGATATATCCAAATTATTCCCCAGTTTAGTTGGGGGATATTCGTTTACGTTTTGACCAATCGCGCGCGAACAAAAATATTTGTTGGATGATGATGATGGAAGCGACACTGAGATGAACAGTTGTTGTAGTATATACTGACTTAAATTGTGAGATAATATAGCACAAAAATATGATTTTAACTCATTTATTGATGTAACGATTACAATATATTCGGGTGCAAGTACTGGCATGTTTCTCGTAGGCGAATAGCGAAGGATATCCGGAGTTTGAGAAGCCAATGACGGCTCGCCTTCAACGCCAGGCAGTATATATTAAGTAGATATATCTATAGATATATCACATTTCATAGATATGAATATGTTCATGTGTTTGTCATCGACAGATTTCTTGCCTGCATCAAGGAGAGAATTACATTTACTGCGAAACAGATTAACACCTACGCAGAGAGTTGGGATGCGTCGTGTGAAACTACGACCAAGCTCTTCCAGAAAGTGATGGACATGAAACCGCATGAGACAAAGAAGACGTTGAGTCTGAACGTGGCGAGGAACTACATACTTGCCTTGAGCAAACCAATGGGGGAAACTGTTGAACTAATTAATTTGAACTTGCAGAAGATCAAGGAGGAAAAGGAGAAGTGCAAGGCTTTCGACAGCGATATTAACAGTTTCCGAGCTCAGTTAAATTTTAAGGGGTTTGATCTTACAATTGAGAACCTAGATTACCCCATGACTGTATGTGCTGGTCAAGGATGTAAGAAGTATGTCAATGTTGGTGAAGATCGCGTGAGGCACACTGTCTATGATCAGATCTGCCATGATCATTGCTACCTCCCAGGAGTACCCTGCGAGACTATAAACAACCCGAAGCTTCATAAATGTAGCGCAATGGACAATGGTCGTTGCAAAAAATGTTCTCACACCTACAAAGAACACATGCATATCACCTACAAATCTAATCTCGTGGAGAAGGAATTCTTCTCTAGGGAAACACAAAGGATTATTTTGGAGAAGGAAGATATGAAGTCCCAGAAGAAAGAGTTCATTCGTCAGTTGAAGAAGCGCATTCAAGAGTTAGAAGATGAAAAGGATTACATTTATGAAAGCGCATCCTTTTTTGGCCTCTTTCTCAAGAAAAACGCCATGATCCCTTACAACGATTACTTCAGCGAGTACATCGACATGCTGATCAAAGATGAGGAAGCTAAGGAGAAGAAGATCAGAGACGACGAGAAGATCAGAAAGTTCAAGACGGAAAAAAAGGCCTATGAGGAGAAGAAAAAACTTCTCATCGACACGATGAGCTCTGAGAAAAATTTTGCAAATTCGCACTTAGAGGAAATCTACGCAAGAAAAGAAAAGCTCTGTTCTTTGAAGCACAATGGAAAGATGCTGAAAGACGCTCTAGGTATGATACTTCCTGCGTAGAATATATGCGTTAATGCACAAGCGTGAAGTCAAGATGGCTGGATACTAGCCGAGAACTATTCTTTTGCGTTCTTATGGACCGTGACGAAGTCGAGGTCCATTTAAATGCAAAGAAAGAACAAGGTTGATATCCAGCCATCTTGATCGAACTAGCTTGGTCAATAAAGGATCTATTACGTAGCAATTTAGTTCGCTTTTTTAAGAGAGCTGGGAAAGAAAACTAAATGTGTTTGTGTCACAATGTACCTGAGCGGTTCGTTTAATTTTCTCTTTCCTATGGCTGTATTCTGCCGCTTTTTGCGACTTCGTCACCGATATCAGTGGCGGATCCAGGGGGGGAGGGTCCGGGGGGTCCGCAGCCCCCCTATCAGACCTGATACTTACAGCTTTGAGACTGAAATTCTTAATTCGACAGGATCGTACATTACTTTTTAACGGGCTGACTCTTTTTTTAATGAATCCAAGTAAACGATAAGCGGCCAAGGAATTATAACTTGCAACCGCGACTGGGGGGTGGGGGTGGGGAGGAGTAATTTGCCTCAAAAGAGCCCAGCAGTCCTTTCTGAACCAAAGTTTGACCCCCCCAATCAAAAAGTTCCTAGGTCCGTCCCTGGACATTGTCCAAAATTTACGAACTTCATAAGTCCGCTCCACGCTCTTTTTCTCTTGCGTTAGATTTAAACGGGCAGTCACGAACGGGCAGTCATGAACGGGAAAAATGGGCCCATCTTGCCCGCTCGGAAAGCCAATCAGAACACAGGATTCGCTTCATCTTTCCCACGGGCACTGCCAGCTATATAGTACAACGAGTTTATTTTATTTACATTTAATTTTTATAATCGGCGGAAATGGGAATCCAAAAGCATGGTATTTTAACAAAACTTGTGGTCCACTTGATCCTAAAGAGCGTGAAAAGCGGTAAAAGTACCCAGTTTTTCCTTGTTTGAAACGGTGACCCATCTGGGACTCGAATAAACCAGCTTCGACGCTGTACAAGTTACGAATACTGATGCAGCTCTGACGTTTTAATATATGGTAAGAACAAATACATGAAGTATTTTCTGCCTATAGTGAAAAGTGCTTTTTCCGTCTATTTTAGATGGTGTCATGACGACAACACAGAAAATGTACAAAGAAAAAAGGTAGGAAAAAATCTTCATCATTCTTCCGTTAATTTTTAGCATGCCTCATCGGAATGTTACCATATATATAAAATACACAAAGAAACTAACAGACAGATAATGATAAACAGACACGGTCAGACAGACGAATAGACGTAGATAGATTGTGTTAAACAATTTTTCTGATCTAGAAAAACCGACGCCACGAAAATTAACATCCTCGAGAAACCAAACTAATCTTCCCCCCCCCTCCCACTTTCCACCCCCATCACGCCCCGATCACAGACAAAAACCTTTCTAGTTATATTCGATTTTATAATAAAGTTCATTGGTTGAAAGAGCGTGCTCTATCAGAGTACAAAACACGCGGCTGAACTGAAGTTGTCACCCCAATTTTGTGCAATTATTCTGCCAATTTGTACAATGTCCGACTATTTCCCGGACTTCTCTCTAGCTTTGCTTCGTTAATTTAGAGTAAAATTGCGGAAAAGCGAGCCAGAGGACCAAACAAAGGTTTATTTACATGCCAAGCGCAGTAATTGACGTTCTTATAACACGAGCAGAGAGGAAAATTCTCCGAGAGAAAACGAAATAGATAGTCCGAGTTCTTAAGGTTTCACTCTCAGTTAGATTGTAAACTTACTGTACGTCAATAAAAATCAAACACAGCTAGCACCTGTATAGTATAAATAGTTTCGCGTTCAAAAAAGAAAACGGAACAAAACAGAAATGATGAAAAATGTAACCAAACTGGCCTAACTGTTAAAAATTCATACAAATCATGAAGGTGTCAGGGCGACTGCGATCATTCTGAGGTCCATTGCGGCTAGCTCATCACGGAGATTTACGGCGCTGTCATTCCCAGCAATCTCCATGTTCCTGTAGACTGTCGTTCATTCATGCACAATGTACATCACACGCCTTGAGTAGTGTAGTTTCTTGACGAGGCTTTGTTAATGCTGGGGCCAGAATGAACGTTGGGATTGGCCGTGCCAGTACCAGGTCATGAGAAGCTTTGCGACATAAAGGAGTTTCGTATGATGCACGATCCTCGCAGTAGATAGCGCTATTTAAGCAATAGCGAAAATTTCGCTATTGCTTAAATAGCGCTATCTACTGCGAGGATCGTGCATCATACGAAACTCCTTTATGTCGCAAAGCTTCTCATGACCTGGTACTGGCACGGCCAATCCCAACGTTCATTCTGGCCCCAGCATTAACAAAGCCTCGTCAAGAAACTACACTACTCAAGGCGTGTGATGTACATTGTGCATGAATGAACGACAGTCTACAGGAACATGGAGATTGCTGGGAATGACAGCGCCGTAAATCTCCGTGATGAGCTAGCCGCAATGGACCTCAGAATGATCGCAGTCGCCCTGACACCTTCATGATTTGTATGAATTTTTAACAGTTAGGCCAGTTTGGTTACATTTTTCATCATTTCTGTTTTGTTCCGTTTTCTTTTTTGAACGCGAAACTATTTATACTATACAGGTGCTAGCTGTGTTTGATTTTTATTGACGTACAGTAAGTTTACAATCTAACTGAGAGTGAAACCTTAAGAACTCGGACTATCTATTTCGTTTTCTCTCGGAGAATTTTCCTCTCTGCTCGTGTTATAAGAACGTCAATTACTGCGCTTGGCATGTAAATAAACCTTTGTTTGGTCCTCTGGCTCGCTTTTCCGCAATTTTACTCTAAATTAACGAAGCAAAGCTAGAGAGAAGTCCGGGAAATAGTCGGACATTGTACAAATTGGCAGAATAATTGCACAAAATTGGGGTGACAACTTCAGTTCAGCCGCGTGTTTTGTACTCTGATAGAGCACGCTCTTTCAACCAATGAACTTTATTATAAAATCGAATATAACTAGAAAGGTTTTTGTCTGTGATCGGGGCGTGATGGGGGTGGAAAGTGGGAGGGGGGGGGAAGATTAGTTTGGTTTCTCGAGGATGTTAATTTTCGTGGCGTCGGTTTTTCTAGATCAGAAAAATTGTTTAACACAATCTATCTACGTCTATTCGTCTGTCTGACCGTGTCTGTTTATCATTATCTGTCTGTTAGTTTCTTTGTGTATTTTATATATATGGTAACATTCCGATGAGGCATGCTAAAAATTAACGGAAGAATGATGAAGATTTTTTCCTACCTTTTTTCTTTGTACATTTTCTGTGTTGTCGTCATGACACCATCTAAAATAGACGGAAAAAGCACTTTTCACTATAGGCAGAAAATACTTCATGTATTTGTTCTTACCATATATTAAAACGTCAGAGCTGCATCAGTATTCGTAACTTGTACAGCGTCGAAGCTGGTTTATTCGAGTCCCAGATGGGTCACCGTTTCAAACAAGGAAAAACTGGGTACTTTTACCGCTTTTCACGCTCTTTAGGATCAAGTGGACCACAAGTTTTGTTAAAATACCATGCTTTTGGATTCCCATTTCCGCCGATTATAAAAATTAAATGTAAATAAAATAAACTCGTTGTACTATATAGCTGGCAGTGCCCGTGGGAAAGATGAAGCGAATCCTGTGTTCTGATTGGCTTTCCGAGCGGGCAAGATGGGCCCATTTTTCCCGTTCATGACTGCCCGTTCGTGACTGCCCGTTTAAATCTAACGCAAGAGAAAAAGAGCGTGGAGCGGACTTATGAAGTTCGTAAATTTTGGACAANTTTTTAAATAAAGGCTGATAGTTTCTAAAGAAACTGTTTAGGGCTGCGTCGGTGGGGGTAACGAAAAAATTTGGATATATCAACAAAGTTGAAATGGTAAATTGGCCACCGTAACATTTACAAAAGCTGACGTTTCGAGCGTTAGCCCTTCGTCGGAGCGAATAGAGGAATTGTGGGTTGTGTGTGCTTTTAAATGCAGATAATGGAGCTCGTTATTGGTGGGAACATGGCAACGGGAAAAACACATAAATTAGTAGAATGAAAAGCGTTCGTTGGTCCCGGTGGGATTTAGAATGCCGGTTTGAATTATGAGCATTTGTTCAATAGTTTTACGGCTTTCCGTGCTACCTAGGTGCAAAGAAAGACCGCAGATTGCCATATGTTGCTTAGAATGATTAGGTAAATTAAAGTGTCTAGCGACTGGTTTCGATGTGTCCTTGTCATTCTTTTCCACGTCGCGAAGGTGTTCTCGGAATCGGGCACTTAGTCTTCGGCCTGTTTCACCGATGTAAATATTTTTGCAATAAGTGCAAGTTATGCAATAGATTACATTGGCGGAGGTGCACGCGAAGTGATCGGTGATCTTAATGGATCGTTTGGGTCCCGATATTTTATCAGTGTTGTGAATAAAAGAACACGTTTTGCATCGTGCGCGAGTGCATTTAAAAGTGCCTGCTTGGTCATCAGTCTTAAAAGAACTTCTGACCAAAAAATTGCCTACGTTTTTTCGCGTTTGAATGAAATGAGCGAAGGCTGCGAAAAGATAGTGCTTGTCTCTGGGTCGTTTTGAAGTAATTTAAGGTTTTTAAGACTGATGGATTTGACTGAGTGGTTGTAAGGGTGAAACGTGAGAGTGAATGGAATGCTGTCGGAATCTACCTTTCGTGACGTTTGTAGTGCTGAATGTCGATCAATAAGTTGGGCGCGGTGGTAACCCGCTTGAACGACAGAAACAGGGTAACCACGTTTATCGAAAAACTGGCACATTGACTCTGATTTGTGGTGGAAATCAGAGTCATCACTACATAAACGGCGAAGTCTTATGAACTGAGAAAAAGGAATGGAATTCTTAACGTGAGATGGATGCGAAGCCGAACATAACAAGTAATTATGCGAGTCTGTAGGTTTGTAATACACACTAGTGCATAAACCGTTGCGTTCAATTTCTCATTTTCATTTTACCTCTTTCTTTTGTAAAAACTTTTAAATATTGAATTGTAATATTATAACAAAAGATACGATTGATGAGTCAATAATTGAATCGTCCACCCTGCTTATTTTGTTGGAGTCTAGAACTGAAGGCTCTTAGGATCTGAGAGAGTGATTGAATTAAATAACAGTTTTGAAGAGGACTGTGTAATCTTGCTTTGAAGTGTTTCTGTACATTTGTTTTTCCACACGTCACTACACCTGTATGCACAAAATTTAAAACCAGCCCTTAAGAAATAAAATGGATCATAATGATACATGTTTTTTTAATTATTATCATTTTTGAAACTGTAATTAAGGTGTAGAGAGCTTGGAAAGCCCCTTTCACGTTCCTTTTTTTTCCCAAACCATTTTTACTTTATTTGCTTGCACCTTGTTACCTCACTACATTCTGTTGGAGCAATATTTAGCAATTCTAGGAAGCTCTAAGGGGACTTAAGGTCCCAAAGATGTCCTACCTCGTAATGGCGTAGATAGCCTAATGTGCAAACCAAATCTGTTTGTTTATTATTTAGAATCAGCTGCTTGCAAGTCAATGGGAGTGACCAGTTATGGAGCCGCTACCTCAACAAAGGGAACCCTTTCTAGTGAACTTCCTCAGCACCAACCTCAGCTTTCAGTAACCTGTACAAACTCCCTCAGTTGAGATGGAAAGATTTACAAATATTTGAATAGACACTAATTTATGTCAGTAGCAGTGAGCAGGTATTTTAAAGAGTACTCTATAAACAACATAACGTTCTGTGTATATTTAGTGGCTAACGATTTGCACTGTAGTTTATACATTTGGTGCTTGTTATGTTATGTTATGTTTCATCAGATTCTGTGTTTTCTAAAGAATGCAATGAGAAATTATAAATTCTTTGTTTCCTCGTATCAAAAACCGTAAGCCTTACGACTGAGTCGGAAATATATTTGATATCCTAGCTGTTTTTCGAAATTAAGAAATAAGTTTTTTGAAGCAAGACTTCACTTGAAGCCCTATGGACTAATTGAGGCCTTGCAACCCAATAAATAAAATTGACAGCTGCCTCTATTCAGAATAATATTTGTCCATGGATATTTACTGTTTAGAGAAGCAAATATTTTTCCAATATTGATTCTCAAAAAAAAACCTTTGTAATGGAATGTTTCCAGTGTGATCACATCTGTCAAAAAAGAAGTAGGTGGGAAGAAAGAGAGATGACTGTTAAATGTTAAATGGTCTATTGTAGGCTAATGTAGGGTTAACCAAAACTGGCCTTTAGTTAGCCACATGGGTTTCCGTTTTTTAACTCTGAACAGGACAATTTTGAAATCCTGCTTGTAAAGCACATAATCGGTTTAGTTTACTTCCGTTTCAGTTATTTCCGCGCCTTCATATATATATCAATCACTCAACAACAAGAAAAGAATTAAGGATAAAAAATATAGGCGAAGAAGCCTTTGTCTTTTAGTTTCTGGTCAGTTGACTGCATGCTTTGGTCAAAATTGTTTTGGAAATAGACACTTGCTTAGTAGCTTTGTTAAAAGAATGGTTTTGTCATGTAGGGGATCAGTCAGGTTGCTAATATAAGGGTATCTCGACTAGCCATCATTTTTTCGTGGGGTGTTTATCAGTATTAAAAGAGTTTCGGAGTGTTGTTTTATCCATAAAAAATTACCACGGGCTAAATCATTCTATACATAACAATGATTTACCTTAGTTCTTAGCATATACTTCATATTCATAGAATTCTCAGTTTACGGGTTTTAACTGAATTATGTTAGGGG